TTCTGCAGTGAACTTACTCTGCAGGAATTACTTTAATTGTGGAATCATGCATTTTTCCTTAAATTTAAAAGTGCTCACTTTGGATATCCGACCTTTGAACTTTGGATATACAACCTCTGAACTTTGGATATCCGACCTCTGAACTTTGGATATACAACCTTTGAACTTTGGATATACAAGCTCTGAACTTTGGATATACAACCTCTGAACTTTGGATATCCGACCTCTGAACTTTGGATATCCAACCTCTGAATTTTGGATATCCATCCTCTGAAGTCAAAATTTTTGTATTGTGAATATTGGGATCAAGGGATAACTTTAAATGAGGGATCTAGCATTTCTCCTCAAATTTAAAAATGCCTACGTTGGATTTCTAGATCAAGTATTCAAGATTAGTACGGTTTTCCATACAAAAGTTCCGACCTGTGAAGTTTGTTGTGAATCTCAGGATCAAGTATTGATTTCCAGCTTACGCACTATGAGCTGAAAACTTTTGAATGGGATATCCTGAATCCCGATCAGTTAATCAATCTATAGATTAATAACAAGAGGAAAACAAGCCTCGAGGCAAAGAAAGAGTGGATCAAGCATTAATCCCGATATCCAGAAATCAAAAGTTCCCAGCTATGGATTAATTTAATTCTTCTTCGATATCCAAAACTGTGGGCTCACTATGATTAAGTGATAAAGATTTATCTTCAAATTTAAAAGTGCTCACCTTGGATATCAGATATCGAGATCAAGTGTTTACTTTGGATATAGAGATCAAGTGTTCAAGAATAACGATACTCCACAAATTACTGGGGGGGAAAGTGAGCTGTTTTGTTCATATTTTTAACTCGTAAAAAGTTTTTTTATTTATCAAATTTATTTGGAGCCTGCAGCTAAAAAAGACAATGCAAATAGTAAAATAGAATTTAATTTGTCAAATCCATATAAAATTAAGACTATATAGAGGACGTGAGTCAGACTCTAATAAAACGCATAAATAACTTCCAGTATATATATTTCTTATAACTTATTACTAGAGGGTTCAGAACTAGAGTCAATATCGATATCGCACGTGTAGACCGTAGAGATCATATCAGTACTATGCCCCGTATCCGTTCTATCTCCTTCTGTTGAATCTTGTGGAACTAGTTTAACGCGGCCAGGCATCGTCTTCCACAACTAATTAAAAATTCTATGAATATCTATTTATTTCCTGTTTTATACTTTATATTTCTATTTACACTTTCCCATAATTTAGCGTTTATGTGAAATAAAAATAAAATTGTAAAAGGTCTAAAATGTGAAAATTTATTACAACCTAGCCAGCCAGGGAGCAGGAAAAAGATAATGCAAAAAAAAACTTAAAATCCCTCCTCGCCCTTTTCCTTATAACCCTCCCCCCCCTTATCTTATCTTAAATTAAAATCAGTTTAAATGAGATAAACTTACACGAACCAAATAAAATTAAGTTGGTCCATCCAAAACTTTCCGACCTAATAAATTGCATTATTTAGTATTCTTTTCTAGAAAAGGAATTGAGTCTTCGAAACAAACTCTGATGTTCTAATTCCTTTAGCTTTTCAACACAAGGGATAAGGGATTAGAAAATTCGAGTTTGTTGCAAAAACTCAGTTCTTTAGTATTAAAATCATGTATTCCTACAGGGTGTCTAAAAATCATGTATTCCTACAGGGTGTCTAAAAATTATGTATTCCTACCGGGTGTCTAAAAATCATGTATTCTTACATGGTGTCTAAAAATCATGTATTCCTACCGGGTGTCTAAAAATCATGTATTCCTACAGGGTGTCTAAAAATCATGTATTCCTACAGGGTGTCTAAAAATCATGTATTCCTACATGGTGTCTAAAAATCATGTATTCCTACAGGGTGTCTAAAAATCATGTATTCCTACAGGGTGTCTAAAAATTATGTATTCCTACAGGGTGTCTAAAATTAATGATGATAATGATGATAATGATGATAATGATGATAATGATGATAATGATGATAATGATGATAATGATGATAATGATGATAATGATGATAATTTTCAGAACTTCCAGTAGGACAAAGACAAAGACGGATCTAGAAGAGTTTCGCGGAGAACTTGAGAATAATGGAGTTCATATACCTGGTCTTATATTCTGCAATTGTGAGGTAAAATTCAATTACTTCTACTTCTTTGGGACCACCTCTAGTTTTCCATATACACCCTGGAGTAAGAAAGGCAAGGATTTAAGTTCTTGCCACTAACTCAAATTTTCTGCTCCCAATATCTTTGAACCCTTATGGTGTAAAAGGAGTTTAGTTTAACGTAGATTGTGCAAAGAATGATCCTTTCATTTGATTGTGTTTGCATGGAGAGTAGAAAAGGACAAAATATTCAAAAATAAAATATTGTGGAATACAGGGTGTCCCAAAGAACATGGGAATTCAGTAACGAATTGGATATCGTCTTTGTTATGAATTAGCATTGTAAGAACTAATTTCAAAAGCCATAATATTATTATGTCTGCTAGAGTTTATTTTATGAAAAGGGTAAAAGATTGTAAAGATGTGAGTATAATGTCTCCGCAAGATCAACAGTGTAGACGCACAAGTTTACTCTGTTTGTATACTGCAATTTTCTTGTTTTACTAAGTACAACCGTATGCAGCCAAAACATAAACAAACAAAAACTCTTACTGATTACAGCTTTCTCAGTAAGTATCACTATACTAAATCAAAGAATTATTTAAAAAGATGATATCGAATTCGTCACTGAATTCCCATGTTTATTGGGACACCCTGTACGATAGTTGGCCTCTATATGAGAGTTCCACAACAGTATTCTGAGAGCTCAGAGACGGAGCATTGAACTTATTCTGATCTCGTGCAACTAGTAAACAATGATCTCGGTATCCCTGTTCTGTTCTAAGTAAATAATACTCGTATACTGTGCTTTATTAGAGTCCGTCCTCACGACCTCTATAATATATATATATTTAGATGACAATATAAATACACAAAACATATATATTCAGATGACAATATCAATACACAAAACATATATATTCAGATGACAATATCAATACACAAAACATATATANAATGATCATTTCACATAGACTCTATGCCTTCCACTTTACAAACGATGATTTTCCGTTATAACTATAAATCAAATGATGTTTTTATTCAACTAATTCATTATAAAGTTTATTTAACCGTTTAAAAAATTCGAAATTGAAATGAATAGTCTAGGGAACATACTGTATTAATGTACTCTACTGCATATGATTTGTGAACATTTACATGATTTGTACACTTTGAACTCCCTTTCAGGCTGAAAGGGACTGAAAAAATTCATACCGAGAGATTCTTTTAATTCCTCTCTATATATTCTATTCTCTATGACGACACCATATATGAACTTCTGTCTTACTACAATGTACACTGTACACTGTACAGTTAATTATCCATGGCCATACAACTTTTTGGCAGTCGCTGAACTCCAACCTTCGAGTGTGGAGGTGGGGAAGACTTCACTGCAGATTTTACTTTTGTACATGACCACTTTTTCAATAATTTTCAATTAAATTAGTATTTATTTAGGGTTAGGTTAGGTTTAGACACTTTCTGGCCCGGGCGCTGCGGCTAGGACAGGCTAGGGGGCCGAACGCTGCGACCACGGATTAGGTTAAGTTATGACACTTTCAGGGCCGAGCGCTGCGGCTAGGATTCAATCCCGATCTACAAATGTCATCCCCCCTTAATCATGCTTTTAATTAAGCGCGGCAGTGAATTCTTCCCCACCTCGCACATTGGAAGGTTGCAGTTCAGCGTCTGCCCAACTTTTTGCAGTATGTATCAGTGATATCAGTTTATAAGAGGGGGTTATTATAGAAATAGTTAAAAGTTTAATAACATTCGTGCACGTGCATGTTTCAAAACAACCGGTTTTCATCCCACATTTAATCTCAAAAACGAAAACTTCAAATCTGTGGTTTTTACATTTTTCCCAATTGAAAGAAGAAACTGTAATTACATTTAATATTTGATATTTCCTGTATTTCCCAGAAAAAGTTAGGTTTACGAGTTTCCAACATCAAATATAGAAATACTAAATTTATTCGAGAATAAAATAGACAAATCCTCTAAATCTTGCCAAGCAGATACAACATGTCGTTTACTACAGTGATAACTATAAAACTCTGGAATAGAAAAACGACTTTTAGACTCAAGTTATGACTTGAACTAGTCCAATGAACTTGAGACATTTGAAGAGGATTATGCCCTGTTCCTCTGAATCTGATCAAAAATGTGGAAGATACCGTCGTTTTCCTGGCTTTAAAACTATTTAATTCTGATAATTTCTTCATTATTTCTAAAGCACTCTTGCAGAAAAACCACGAATGCAAATATACAGCTTTTAAAATAAAAAAAAACCACGAAGATCTAATTCATACTTGATCAGACAAAGCTTTTAAGGGAACCGTACTGAGAATAAACTTTAGAAAATATATCTAGCAGCTAGCTAGCCCCGACAAGTGTCAGTTTGAGCTTTAGAAAATATATCTAGCAGCCACCTAGCCCCGACAAGTGTCAGTTTGAGCTTTAGAAAATATATCTAGCAGCCACCTAGCCCCGACAAGTGTCAGTTTGAGCTTTAAAAAAATACATGGTTAAATTTTTATCTTGAACTTGTTTTTAATTTTCTTGATTTTACGAGTTTATTTCAATGAAATAAATCACTGCTGGATCTGGACAGAATTTTGTCAAGGTGTTATTAGAAAAGAATGACGGGGACAAAAACATTTGAAAAGAAAATACAATTATTTTTCTTTTTGTCCCAATTTATGATCAGTTTATTTGTTTGAACCGAACTTAAATTGGGAGTGGCTCTTATTGAATAAGTTGAAATATTTGTATATTTGGAACCAAATAATATTACAAATCATAACTCAGTGGTAACCAGAACAAAGCCAAAAATATTTATTATTACCTTTGGACATTTAACAATTTTCTAACATGTACTGTACTGTTCAGGGTGAGTCTAGCCGAAAGCTTGTACAAGGATCGTATTGTATTGTTGAAACCCTTGTACCCAGTCAGGAACTGTACACAGACGGGGAACAGCTAGTTGTACTTTTAGGGTTCAGGTACATATCCATTAGCACCATAGTTTCAGTAGAAGTAAATATTTCCATTTACTGATAGCGCCGATTGAATGATTCATAACTCTGATTGGATAATGAGATAGATAAAAAGATAGATGTTACCGCCAAACTATTGGTTGAGAATAGACAACAATCTTGCCAATCACTTTCGCAGAGAAACTGAAAATGAAAAGAAACAGTTTAAAGAAACAAAGCATGGATATCTAATTCATATTTATTCCGACCACGCTTTTAAAGCTACAGTTTTAAATCGAGCATATGTCATCTTTGCATGGGGAGGGTCACTTGAAATTATGCATACAGTCCCTTTAAATTGGGGATTTAATGATACAAATGTGATAAAAATCACTAACATAAGTGAAAATAAATTTTTTTTAAAGCTTTCCAGTTTGGGTATTTGTGGAACGGGGTGGGAGATTATTTTGGAGGGTGATTGATTTTTATTAATTTTTTTCGCGAAAACAATTTATGGCCATATCTTGCACAATTTTGAATATTTTGAGTTCTGTAAATTGGTCAAACTCCGCTATTGCCTCTTTCCAATATTTGCTATTTTGTTTAAATAAAACACACAAAATTTTTTTTAAAAATAGTTTTAATTTAATTCGTTAAATGTTCAGACAACCGATTTTCTTGGATTCAATGTCGTGTATTTTTCACTGCAACAACGTTAATTACCATTCTGTATTACAAAAATTAAATATGAAATAAAACGTAATTTACAAACCAGGTTTGAAATGTTCATAAAATGATGTTCATAAAATGTTCATGACCATCTTTATTGTCAAATATTTTGTGAATAACCCTCTAAAAATGTCAAGAATTCGACACAAAGAGTGGGATTTCTGAAAAGAGCTCTGATTGCATGAAAACAAGATTTTTAATATTTAAGAAGAATAAAAAAATGTGCAATGCATTTAAGTTAAATTAATGGTGAAATTATATTTCAGGTTTGCATACAAATTAGAATTATAAATAAGTTTTCCAACATTAAAGTTTATAAAAGAAATTAAACCTTTATAGTTTGGTTTGGCATGCATTACCTAGTTTCCCCTAGTTGTTTAATTAATTGTGTATTCAACCAGGATATTAGAACAAGGTTCTAACTTTAAAGGGAGTGTTCAAGAAAATGTGAGACGGTTTTTTTTATAGTTGACAGTTGTACCGTTCTATATATTTCTTTTTTTAGTGAATATTGTCTTCAAATTTAACCCTAATCCCCATGATGGGGGGAGGTCCTTCCCCCACCCCACCCCCACCTATGTTTTGACCTAGTTGAAATAGGGGAGTCCCTAGTTCAACTTTTCAAGGCCAGCTATTTAAAAAAAATATTAGACCACTAACTTTAATGGTTTGGATGCTAGGGATGTTTTTGAAAAGTTTAAAAACAGCGACGAAAATATATTAAAAATATTTATTATTACTTTTTACAAATATTAACATGAAATAAGTGAATCAAGGCGTCACTGGTTAAAAGTCTGAAAAATATAAAGATTCCTTTATCAGTGGATAAAAAGAAAAAATACGAAATATATCATATTTATGTAATATGTGTAAACTCAATATATATATTCAAATGATAAAAATGAAACTTTCTAAATTTGAGCAATGAATATTAAATTTGTTTGAACGTTTGAAAGGTTCGCGTAAATATATATATAAATATATAATAAGTATATATTATTCTTCTTTGTTAAATAAATATATGAATTCATTTATGTATAAACGTATTTTTGGCAGTCGCTGAACTCCAACCTTCGAGTGTGGAGGTGGGGAAGACTTCACTGCAGATTTTACTTTTGTACATGACCACTTTTTCAATAATTTTCAATTAAATTAGTATTTATTTTATAAANGTGAAAAAACAGGTTTCACATTTTAAAATGATTAATTTTTTTTCCATTAGTGATAAAAGTAAAAATTGTATTTTTTACATTATAAACATCTCTTTAGCTTTGTTCATTGGTAAGTCTATAATTGCACACTGATTACTTGCCTAAACCTTTAAATATATCAAATTCTTATATCTTTGTAACCTGAAGTCTTAGACCTTTGATATTTCACAGCGAATAAAAACCAAATTTGTTTACAAGGTTTCACAATCAGGTTGGAAAGGTAAATTAAAAAATTCAAATTTAGACAAATTCTTATGTAAACTAACTTTAAGGAAAAAATTACACTGTAAAGAAATATCAAAATTTGTATGAGCACCGGAGCCAAACTCAACTTAATAGCATAATTCGTCAAATTTTGTTAGATGAAAATCATTATTCATCAACATTGCATTGAGCTAGTAAGCTGAATTTGGTTCCGGTGCTCCAACAAATTTTGTTTCATGAAAATTTGACATTTTTTAGAATAATATGAATTTAAAATTACATATGTTCAGGACAACAGATGACAACTGTGTAGCTACTCCAGAAGCAGACGAAGAGAGGAGTGAGGAAGCTAGAAGCTGGAGGGATTGGACTGGAATAGGAAACAAAATAAAAGATTTAATATAAATTATAATATTCATAAAGAAAATCGGGTTTTGCCACAAACTCAAATCATGAATTCTGTTAGATGAAAAAGTCTAAGTTGAAATATCTAAGGTTTACACAATCAGATTGCAAAGAGATAGAGATTAAAAATTTGAGTTTTCGACAAATATAATTATTTAAAGAATTAGAATCTATTAAAATGGAAGGATATAGAACATTAAGAACCTCCAGACCCCTTAGCCTTAAACAAAGAAATTGAGTCTTTGTAACAAACTCTGATTTTCTAATACCTATATTTTTTCCACCTGATGGTGTAAACCTTTGATATTTCAAACTTAGATTTTATCTAACAAAATTGAAATATCTAAGGTATAAGGCATTGGATTACAAAGATATAGAGATTAGAAAATCATAGTTTGTGACAAAGACTCAATTCCTTTTACCTGGTTGTCGCCACTTTGTCACTCAAAATGGAGATTTTTTATAAAACACATTTTCCCCGTTCAATCCCCATCTAGTCATGTTTTTAAAGTAAAAGTAACAAAATTCCCCCTTAAAAAAATAAGGGGGGAATCGAATTTGTAAGCCGCCCACAATTACATGGCACGCAGATTTAACGGTTAATTGGTCCTTTTCACAGTAAGCAAGGTGGCTTCGATTCAAATATCACAATTAACATAACAACATAATTTTTTGCATTTTCTCATTTAAACTATTTTGGCGATGGATGAGTTTTAAATGAAAAGTATTGAATTCCAACTCCGTAAGTTTAAAAATTGTTGAATTATAGACCAAAATACGATTTAATTCAATTGAATGAACCAAACGCATCTCACCCCGGTTAGTCCATGGGATTGCGAGGTACAATTCATTTATTTTCTTTGATCAGGAAACCTATACACTGGCCTAGCTCGGTTAGATACCGTACAGGTACAGGTACAGGTACAGGTACAGGTACAGGTACAGGTACAGGTACAGGTACAGGTACAGGTACAGGTACAGACAGATGCAGGTACATATACTTCTATTTATCAATTTTTCTACAACTTTCTTTATTATTGATCCCAAGCTCTGAAAGCATGCTCAAGATATGTCCTTATAAAGAATGTCTCTATCTTGTAATCTGGATTTATTGAACAGGAAAATGAATAAAACTCATTTCCCTGTCTAATGCTAAACCTGCACTATGTTTACTCTGCACAATTACATAATAGTAAAACAGGGATTGGTTATTTTAAATCATGATTCGTAAAAAAATAATTCCTTGAACATTTCTTTGCAAAGGTTTTATATATTTTGTAAATGTTTAGAAGAATTGTATTGGTGGGAATTGGAGAAAAGCTAAATATTTGTTTTTGTATTCTGACAATCAAATTGTTTTCCTTTACACAATGTTCTGTGATTGTCTAATTTATTCAGTGATGTCACAGTCACTAATTGTCGCTAGTTGTCGTCACTAGTTGTCACTAGTTGTCGTCACTAGTTGTCACTAGTTGTCGTCATTAGATGTCGTCACTAGTTGTCACTAGTTGTTGTGACTAGTTGTCCCTAGTTGGCTTGACTAGCTGTTACTAGTTGTCACTAGTTGTCACTAGTTGTCACTAGTTGTTGTGACTAGTTGTCCCTAGTTGTCTTGACTAGCAGTTACTAGTTGTCACTAGTTGTCACTAGTTGTCACTAGTTGTCACTGGTTGTCACTAGTTGTCACTAGTTGTACTAGTTGTCACTAGTTGTCACTAGTTGTCACTAGTTGTCACTAGTTGTCACTGGTTGTCACTAGTTGTCACTAGTTGTCACTAGTTGTCACTAGTTGTCACTAGTTATCACTAGTTGTCACTAGTTGTCACTAGTTGTCGCTAGTTGTCACTAGTTGTCGCTAGTTGTCACTAGTTGTCACTAGTGTTCACTAGTTGTCACCAGTGTTCACTAGCGTTCACTAGTTGTCACTTGTTGTTACTTGTTGTCACTTGTTGCCACTTGTTGTCACTAGTTGTCACTATAGATGTCACTGGTGGGGTGGGGTGGAGAGTGTGTGACACCAGTTCTCGTTAGATCACTGAAGTTAAGCACACTTGTCCACAGCCAGTAACTGGATTGGTGTCCAGGCTGGTGTTCACGGGTTCGATTCCCGTACTCCACACAAACCTGTGGTTTCAAAAACATCTGAAGCCGACATCTGGTTTAGCAGTTATGACCACCTGACGGATGTAGGAGGACAGAGGGGCGGCTGTCAACAACTCTCGCAGCGAAAGGGTGCGTGCTTTCTGCTCAACAAGAAAGAAGCTTCAAGAGGGATTGATCCAAGTGAATGACGATGAAGAGAGGAATGGTGGACAAGCAGGGAGAGTCTATGGTTGCCAGCTATAGGTACCTGGGGGTATCCAATCCGGGCTTACAGATGTTAGGGAGCAATGAGTGTGACGTTTCCTATCAGTACGGCACCCGGGCCTCATTCCAGTATATCAGAAGGATTCCTGCACTCTATATTCTCAGGCCTAAGAAGAATCTTAGGCAGCTGGAATCTTGTCAACCCTCTTCTCAGAATAAATGAAGCGTGGATGGATGAATGTGCTGCCAGATTACAACCCCTGGTAGATCAATATAAAAACCCAGAAAACACCAAACTTTCGCAATAGAAAAAATTCCGAGATTTGATCGTAACAACCCGATCATGTCCTGGGGACAAAAAATCTCTTTTTTAAGATGTCACTGGTTGTCACTGGTTGTCACTAATTGTCACTAGTTTTCACTAGATGTCACTAGTTGTCGCTAGTTGTCACTAGTTGTCACTAGTTGTCACTTGTTGTTACTTGTTGCCACTTGTTGTCACTAGTTGTCACTATAGATGTCACTAGTTGTCACTGGTTTTCACTAGTTGTCACTTGTTATCATTAGTTTTCAAATGTTTAACTTTAATTTAGTATATGTTAAGGTGGACAGTTCCTTTCATATATTCATGTTTAGGTGGAAAGTTCCTTTAATGTATTTGTGTCAAGGTGAACAGTTCCTTTAACATGTTTGTGTTAAAGTGAACAGTCCCTTTGATATTTTTATGTTAAGGTGAACAGTTCCTTTAACATATTTATGTTTAGGTGAACAGTTCCTCTAATATATTTATGTTTAGGTGAACAGTTCCTTTAACATGTTTGTGTTAAAGTGAACAGTCCCTTTGATATTTTTATGTTAAGGTGAACAGTTCCTTTAACATATTTATGTTTAGGTGAACAGTTCCTCTAATATATTTATGTTTAGGTGAACAGTTCCTTTAACATATTTATGTTTAGGTGAACAGTTCTTTTGATATATTTATGTTTAGGTGAACAGTTCCTTTAATATAATTATGTTAAGGTGTACAGTCCCTTTTATATATTTATGTTAAGGTGAACAGTTCCTTTAACATATTCATGTTAAGGTGAACAGTTCCTCTAATATATTTATGTTTAGGTGAACAGTTCCTCTAATATATTTATGTTTAGGTGAACAGTTCCTTTAACATATTTATGTTTAGGTGAACAGTTCCTTTAATATATTTATGTTTTGGTGAACAGTTCCTTTTATATATTTGTGTTAAGGTGAACAGTTCCTTTAACATATTTATGTTTTGGTGAACAGTTCCTTTAATATATTTGTGTTAAGGTGAACAGTTAAACATATTTATGTTTAGGTGAACAGTTCTTTTGATATATTTATGTTTAGGTGAACAGTTCCTTTAATATAATTATGTTAAGGTGTACAGTCCCTTTTATATATTTATGTTAAGGTGAACAGTTCCATTAACATATTTATGTTAAGGTGAACAGTCTTTTTAATATATTCATGTTAAGGTGAACAGTCCCTTTAATATATTCATGTTAAGGTGAACAATCTCTTTAATATATTTATGTTAAGGTGATCAATTCCCATTAACATATATATGTTAAGGTGAACAGTTCCTTTAACATATTTATGTTAAGGTGTACAGTATTTTTAACATATTTATGTTAAGGTGAACAATTCCAATTAACATATATATGTTTAGGTGAACAGTTCCTTTAATATAATTATGTTGAGGTGAACAGTTAACCTTTAATATATTTATGTTATGTTAAACAGTTCCTTTAATATAATTATTTTAAGGTGAACAGTTCCTTTAATATATTTAAGTTGAGGTGATAATTCCCTTTAATAATTTATGTTAAGGTGATAATTTCCTTTAATATATTAATGTTGAGGTGATAATTTCCTTTAATATATTAATGTTGAGGTGATAATTTCCTTTAATATATTAATGTTGAGGTGATAATTTTCTTTAATATATTTATGTTGAGGTGATAATTCCTTTTAATATATTTATGTTGAGGTGATAATTCCTTTTAATATATTTATGTTGAGGTGATAATTCCTTTTAATATATTTATGTCGAGGTGAACAAGATTGAGTTTCTGGAGAGTCATATTCCTGATCATACGGCAGTCTTTCATTATCTTGTTCTTTTATACCTTCAGGTTAGGATTTAAATTAAGCGTAAAGTAACCCTTCATTCTAACATGGCAATGCCAGATTTACAACATTACCCTTAGAACCCTAATCTGATCAAAAATGTGGAAGATATCATCTTTTTCTGATTCAAAAAGTGTTTAATTCTGATAATCTCTCCATTGTTTCTTATAAGCAAGAAGTAATTTTCCCAGAGAAACCACAAATGAAAATAAACAGTTTAAAGAAACATAAACATACTTTATCAGACAAATCTTTTAAGTGTACCATTGTAAATTGGACATTGCCATATTTTATAGAGGGTCACTTGAAATTACATTTACAGTCCCTTTTATGTTAACAATAAGAAGAATAAGTGTAAGAAAAGTAATAAAGAAAACAATAAAGATATTGATAATATTAGTATACATACATTGTGCATATATTTACTTTCCATGATTTTGCTTATCAGGATTTCTACATTTTGTGTGACGGTGACCCAAACAAAGTCTGCAGTTTATTGTGAACAAATGCCTTAATTAATGTCTTTTAATATGGCAGACAAGAAATAAAAAATGATTGTTTGTCAGGATTAGTCTTTTGGAGCATTTTTTCAAGGTGTTACACCACTGCCTAGCTAGCCTGAAAAAAATGTTGATTTTTTCTTCCGCCTGAGTAGCCTGAGGAGGTCGGCATGCCTTTTAAGGGTAGATTCCATACCCAAAACCAACATATATAAATACGCATTTCATGGAAATGACAAATTATGAAAGTAATTAAAGATGCAGTATGAAAATTAAAGACGACCTAAATCTAACTTTAAGGAATAAGAATATCATGTGGCATTTTCTATAAAGAAGAATAAAATCAAATTTTATTTCAACCCTCATAACATATCAGAATTTTGAAACATATACAACTTTTATTTAGAAAATGGATCAAAAAAGACAATAGTTTCCATTCCAAGAGGTGTTGTATCGATTTAAAGTTAATTTCTAGAAACGCTAAAACTGCAATGTTTCAAACAAAATGTGCCCTTTTTGACTGTCCGCTAGGAGCCCTGCTGTCTGGTCCAGGGCAAGAAAATCCGGAAAAGAAATATTGCCCTGTGTGTGCTAAATCAAGATATAAAAGTCTAATAAAAACACCCGCACTTTTTTCTTTTTATATTCATATGTTTTTCATTTTATTAGAATAAACGCTATCATAAAAATATTCAAGTGTTAAAGGGATTTATTTCAATTTTTTTATTTTTAAATTATTAAAAAATCCTCTTTTGAGCAGATCTAAAGATTTACTTAACCCTATTCCCGCTGGGGGGGGTCAATTTGACTCCCCCCTGTAGTTTTTTTTGCATAACTCAAAAAGTATTGGCTGTTGAAATTTTCTGACTTTTCTTACATACCCAAAGCCCTCCCTTTAGGCCTAAAACCGGGCTTTAATACTAACTGCCTGAGTCCTCAGGCACACTGCCTGAATGACTGCTTTTGCCTGTAGCAAACTAAATCTTTGTTTTGACCCACTTTCACTTGTCAGATTTTGATAAAATTTAGCTTTTTGGAAAGCCTATGACATAAGGAAACGGATTGCACAAGTTTTGCGAAAAAAAAATTGCAAATTTTTTGCAAACAACTTGTCAAAGGAAATTTGCACATTTTTAGTTTTTCTTGATTAAAAATCAGGTTATTTAAAATTTTGCAAAAATTTTTGCATATTTGAAATGGCATGGTCAAGGGCTTTTCAAAAATGTATAATTTGTCATTTTTTGGACAAATTTTTTGCAAACATTTTTACTATAAAACTGGATTTTGCGATAAAAAATTCAATTTTCGCAAATTTGCAAAATTTTTTGCAGATTCTAAAAGTAGAGCACAAGAGCTTTCTAATGATGTATCATTTGTCATATTTTGACATAAAACATGGGATTTAGAGGGGGGGGTCAAATTGACCCCCCCCCCCAGCGTATCCTGGTTTTCAAGTACCCCAGCGGGGATAGGGTTAAAAAATGCAATTCAGGTGAAATATTTTTACGAATAATAATGTTATCTCTACTCACATGGTTCCTAGAATTTCTGGGGCTTAAAAAATTGAGTTTATGTTTACCTGAGATTATAACTTCTTGGAAATCCCTTTTTATAAATAGAGAGTTTAGTTTGTTCATTATCAGTCTGGATTAAAGATTCCTGTAAACATGATTTTCATGTCTCTTTCTTTCATCCTCTACATAATTAGCATTGGTTAGAACTTTTCTAAATCTTGGGATTTAAAGAAAATAAAAACCAGTTTTCATATTTCAAATTTGGGTTTATAAAAAGAGTAAAATTCTTAAAATGTTCTTGGTTGGAATCTTTTTTCATGTTTCAAATGCAAAAAAGGTTTAGTGCATTTGCATATATATATTAAATAAAAACTCAGTTTGGATTAAATTCAGGCCTGTACATTTCTAATCTTCCCCAAAACTAGGTTCTATTTCTGGAGAAAATGCCAACTGGGTTGATATCTGTGCTGAAGGCATAGAGAATAGAATATATAGAGAGGAATTTACTGTAAAAAAGTGTAAAACGGCCATTTTGTTGTACTGTTTCCATACTGCAGGTGTACTTCACATATTTATGCTATATAACCTCTTGGGCCCTGGAATATCATTTTATAGAAAATCTAAAATTATTGTTAAAAGAAAACCAAACTATGAAATAGACTGGTTTCATAATTGACCAATGATCATTTCACATAGACTCTATGCCTTCCACTTTACAAACGATGATTTTCCGTTATAACTATAAATCAAATGATGTTTTTATTCACCTAATTCATTATAAAGTTTATTTAACAGTTTAAAAAATTCGAAATTGAAATGGATAGTCTAGGGAACATACTGTATTAATGTACTCTACTGCATATAATTTGTGAACATTTACATGATTTGTACACTTTGAACTCCCCTTCAGGCTGAAAGGTACTGAAAAAATTCATACCGAGAGATTCTTTTAATTCCTCTCTATATATTCTATTCTCTATGGCTGAAGGGTTCAATACTGTGGACGAGTGTTGTCATAAAAATACAGCAACTGCTGATGGTGGTATGGAAGGTCATCAGTATCTCATTGACCTAGAGACTCCGAGAGACTACTTCGACCAATACATAAGCTGTCTGACCAACTCCTTAGAAGACCCAACCCATGGATATCAGCTGGTAACTTTTGAAACATCAAAGGAAAATTATTGTCTTGTTAAATACATTAGTGCAAGACAGAACAAGATGAACCCCTCTACCAACTATGAATTCTACATAGGCCTTCAAGGCCAAACCTCGGACAACATGAAGAATGGGTTTTTATGGCAATTACCTATGAGAGGGCAATTTGGCTACTCAGAAGATTACGCTGCTAATGTTCCAACTTTTACCAACTGGGCCATTAATGCTCCTAATGGACAGGACTGTGTTAAAATGACAACAGGAATGGGAAGCCCTACAAGTGCACTTTGGACTCATGTTGATTGTAATTCTCAACTTTACTCCATTTGTGAGCGTTATCCCTTAGTTTAGATCACAGATTCAGTTGTAAACAACAAATATCATTGTATCGTCTTTTTCAGATGTTTAAAATAAAATATTAATGAACTGTTCTTTGTATATAACATTAAGATTTCCTGATACATATTATTTAATTTGGAAAATGCATTTCTTGTTAAAAATTGAAAAGATTTAAAAATAAATATTTCTAGATAGCATTAAAAATAAGTCATCGGCATAACATTAATAAATATATTAGAGTTGATCTGATTTACACATTTGTCAGAAAGCCCAAGTTTTACTAAACAAATTGGAAGGAAGGGTTCAGAGAAGTTATTCATTTGTAATCAGTGGAAAGTGGTATTAATTTCTGAAGCAAAGAAAGCAAAAACAAATTTAAATGCTTTCAAACATTTTTAGCAATTTCTGAATTGAAATTTACAGTTAAAAGTTTTATGAAATACACCTCAAACCACTGCCTGTTCTTATCACAACACTACGTACAAATCGTAAGATTGATTTTAACAAAATTACAGAAATGCTGTATTAATTGGGCTATCTAGAGAAAGGCTCCTGGAAAAATTTAAGCTTCTCAAAAATTTATGTTTGAGAAACGAAGTAGAAATTGTATCTACATAGCAAGGAATTATATAAATAAGGATTTATCTCTTATTGGATAATGATCTACATAGAAAGATGAATGTTACCGCAATGCAATTTCTATTGGTTCAGAATGGACACTAAACACATGGCTGAACCCTGATTGGATCAGGCTCTAATGGACTCGGCATACTAGAGTGCCAAAGGTTGCCTCGTAGTTGATAAAGCATAATTCAAAGTTTGAAATATCAAAGAACTACATAATCTGGTTGCAAGCTATAGGAATTATAAAACTGGGTGTTTTTCATAAAACGAAATGAGACATTTTAACAGAAAACATCCTACCTAAGTTTTGAATTAGAAAATTGTATAATTAATTTTTAACCATTTTTAATGCACTAAAGCATCTTTTATTCAAAATTAGAGTTTTGATTCTGATCACTTGAATTCCAAACCAAAAAAGGACAATTACTTAACTTAAAAGACTTTAAAGAAGCTGCTTCACTGCTTTTGAATGGAGACAAAGGATTTCCATGGTTTAAGTTTTGTTCAATATGTTGATGTTGATGAGAAATGCAAACCATTGTAAATTATTGAAGATTAACAAAACTAATCTTCTGGGATATTATTTCTCATAATTGTCCTGGGACATTATTAATAATAATGTCCAAGAAGATTTCAAATTTTTTTCGGCTCCTTCCTTGATCTGTATCAACGCCTCAGAATCCAAGAAGATAATTGAAGAATCCAACATCTTCCTTGCCAATTAAACTAACACTGACAAATTTTGGATTTTTTACAAAATTTTGCAGATTTTAGAGTTTTCTTCGAGATTTTTCAGTTTAAAAATAAAAAAAATTATAGAAGCAACTGCCTTATGCATAATTTGGAAAATTATATTTTTGCCGGGATTCTTACTTAATTTAGTTTTTTCGGTTAAAATTCAAGCCTTTAATCCCTCTATGTTCGGGCAGTTGCATAAATAAATATAATTCCTTCAATTCTCAAAAATCTGCATTCCAATATAATAATTCCAATTACGTCTGAACTGATAGTGAATTGTAAAAAAAATCAAAATTCATTACAAAGGAACTGAGTTTTAGCCACAAATTCTGATTTGCAAAATCGCTATATCTTTGCAACCTGATGGTGTTAACCTTTGATATTTCAAACAATTATTATTTGATCTAAAATAATTCATAGATTAAAATATCTTAGGTCTCTGACATTAAAATGAAAAGATATAGGGATAAGAAAATCAGAGTTTGTGACAAAGCTCAATTCCTTTATAGTTATCTTAATTCTTCTCTTCTTAAAGGGAGTGTTCGCGAAAAATGAAAGGGGGTATAGGCTTAATGCGATCGCTACTAATCTTACTTCTATCTGTTGCGTCTATAAGGAGAAAATTGTTAAAGACGTCTCATACCGAATAACTTAGCGCCAGGGGCGGACATAAGGATTCTGTAGGGGGGGTAAATATTTTTAATTTGGCGCGTGATTTTTTATAATAATATTTAGCTTACAACTTGTTTTCGAACATTCCTGGAAAATATGAAAATGTCGTCTTCATTACCAAAAATCCTCGGAACAGGAAGGTGTGTTTTTATAAGTAACTCTCAGATCATAACAATTAAAACATATTATGAAAAATCAACTATTTACAAATGTTGCGAAAGATAATCGATGACTATAGGTTGTAATATCTGAATGATTTGTTTGAAATTAAATAGATTTGTTTACGGTCTAAGTCGCATGTTGCATCTTTCTGAATTTGTATGGACACTACATTCTTCGGTATGAGTCGTTTTTAACAAGTTTCTCCTTATAGACGCAACAGATAGAAGTAAGATTAGTAGAGATTGAAGGCGCTTTTTTATCACATTAAGCCTATACCTCCTTTCATTTTTCGCGAACACTCCCTTTAATGTTTTTTTTTCAATCTTATTCCCTTTAAAGGTTTGGGTCTTCAAATACAGACATCTTGAGCTTGTTTTGAGATTTTACACCTCATTAATATAACTAAGGATGCTTTTATCAGATTTATTGAAATTGAAAATTGAAACATGACATTTAAGTACAATGCCCATATTAGTTTACAAGAACAAATACCAAAATTAGGGTGTGACATTGAATCATTTAAGCAAATATACATATTGGTTATGGAACCTTTACACATTTACTTCTTTACATAGCGCTCACAAATGGAGAAAAACCTAGTATTGCATGCTACATCATTCCAGAGTCCATTAGTTGCAGTTGATGGTCCAGTACTCATTCTTACACAATCCAGTCTATTAGGAGCATTATTAGCCCAGTTAGTAAAGGTTGGAACATTAGCATCAGGATCTGCCGGAACTAATGCACCAACATGACCTGTCATTGGATCATCCCAGAAAAATGCATTTTTTAGATAATCTGAAGTATCTGCTTGAAGTCCAATATAGAAGTTGAGGTTGGAACTAGGATACATCATGTTGATATACTTTGCTACACAATAGTTCTCCTTCCTGGTTTCAAAGGTTGCTAGCTGATATCCATGGGTGGGGTCTGAGAAGGTATAGGATAAACAATGAATATGCTGATCAAAGTAATCTCTAGGAGTAGTGATGTCTATATAGTATTCATGACCCTCCATACCTTCATCAGTTTTTGCGTCTAAGTTTTTATGGCAACACTCATTAGGAACATTGAACCCATTAGCACAGATGTCAACCCAAGCAGCCTTCTCCTGGCCATGAAGAAATCCTATACAAATATGCAGTTGAATAAATAGTTCTGAAATGTATGTATCATGAATCATAAGAACTCTGCAGGGCAACACTACAGATCAAATTGAAAAACAATTTTAGTTCTGAGGTTTTTTTAAAGTTTGAAGCTTTGAGCTAAAGTAAACTTGTGTCTTTTGCAAAGTCATTTTAGACAATTTAACTTATTTGAAGTACTGCAGGGCATATTTTTTATGAATCTTGAAATAAAGTAGATTGTAGGGATAATTAATCTTACCTATTAAAAGAAAGAAGAAAGGAATGATTAGAGAAGTCATGTTGTTGTTAATTGGTAAACCACCAGACTGAAGTGAAAGGGACTCCATGCAGATATTTATACTGGAAATTGTATTCCATGCTTATCATTAAACGCAAGTTCAACAGAATGTTTGCTTGGAACATATAGGATTCTTGGAAATAGGACTGTTGATAAATATTGTTAAAGTTCACAGTATACTTTTCAATCTTCATTAATTAGATCATTTAATGAAGAGAATACTTCATCTAGAATTTTATTGGAATTTTTCTTCAATTTTTGACAACAAATGTTTTTGATAATGATAAGAAAATTTCCAAAACATAATTAAGAAATCATGCAGATTCTGATTATAAGAATAACAAATGTTTTTGATAATGATAAGAAAATTTCCAAAACATAATTAGGAAATCATGCAGATTCTGATTATAAGAATAACTTTTTTATATTTTAGCTTTTTTAAAACCTTACATAACCCCTGGGGGGATTTTGGAAGGTCAGGATCAGAATATTCTCATTGAAACTTGATTCTTTATATTCACCAATTCATTTATAATGTCTGAAAACATATAGCTGATAAAAGCAAAATATATATTAAAGAGGGTTTTATTACTATAAAATGCACGGTATCAAATTTGTGATGGACGCCAATTTAAGATGTAAAGGAAAATCCAAAGTAGTTCGGATACTAGTCTGCATAGTTAGTCATAGACAAGATAGTCGAAAATCTAACTATTTAAAGCAATTAAAATAATCAGAATTTTTTTCTTTTAACAGCCATCAGCCCCCCCAAATATGTTTCAAGAATAATGTTTACCTATCCTATGAATTTTCAAGGTGTTAATCTTTTTGAATATTTGAAACTCTTTAAGAAAAAGATTATTAGAAACTCTGTAAGGGTTCTCTGATCAACATGATCCTTTCAAACTGCGCTGAGTGTAAAATAATCGCATGAAATCATTTATTTTAGAAATTAGAACAATGTAACATTGGGCCGTTGCCCCTATGATTTTTTAATTTTATTTAGAAACGTAATTTTTGTCATACATCTTAAATAAATTCACATTAGTTAGGTTAGACATTTGAGGCTTCCAGAGAGGCCTAGCATTGTAGCTCAAGAGTAGGGGCCTAAGCCCTGAAGCTAGAACAGGCTATACGGACATTTTTAATAAAAAAAGTCACTAAAAACTGCACTTAGCTAAAAAGTTTTACAGCAAAAATTGCCCTATAAAAAAACGACACTAGAATAAAGCTTTACCAGTAACCTTTGTATACAGTTTAATCTATTAGAGGCTAATTTTGGAGTCAAACATTATAGAAACAGAGGCCGAATTTAAAGAATTTGAGCGGCGGCTTAAATTTAAGCCGCGGCTCAAATATAGTTGGTTTCACTTACAATTGTATTCAATGTTTCAATATTTAAGCCGTTGCTTAATTGAAACCAGTTTTTTTGTAAAAATAAAACTATAGATATCATTTTCATAAAAACAATTTTTACTCAATCTAAACAATTGTTCAAAACGATTGATAAAATCATTTTGATAAATCGTTCTGGTTAATATCTTTGGTAAATATTTTTTAAAGCATAGAATATTTGTATTTTTGATTGTGAAAAAGGACTTCAAAACAATGGTAAACTAGTAACACGGAGTTTTATGTAACCACATTAAGAATTTATACATGATTTATGTTGTCAACTTGTCAGTATACATCNAAATGAACATGAAATGCCTTAGAATTGAAAAATGTGTCTCAGGGAAATATAAAGTGTAATGTCTTAGAATGGAATTATGATAAGTTACACTGTTTTACAGAAAGTTTTATTTTCTAAAATATAAAAATATTCTCACGCAAAAAACGCCTTGTTGCTATACCTAACGGTTTCTGTACGTAATGTTGCTATAATCTTTGACTTCGCTAATTTCAGAGAAGTAAACAAATTTTATTTTTGAAAACTTACAAAGAACAGAGATAAGATTTTCTAGTTAAAAGCTACGTTTATTTTCCTATCGTGCTAAAACCTAGAATCTGGCTCTCGATACCATCGAGTCCACATTTGTAGCAACTTATACGACCTCTTTAAGGAAGGTTTATGGCCAGCTGAAATTGATGTTGCCTTAAAAAATGTTAATTCTTGATTTAGAAAAATTTGAAAAAATCAACGAATATTATCTTTGAAAAGCGGGGTAAAATCTTGCATTATTTATTTGTAAATTGACAATGATATTACATAAAGATAAATATTATAAATAATAATATTTTAGGTGGATTCTGACCTGGGTCGTGTATCTGTCCTGGATAGGGTTGCAAGATTTAGGAATTTAAATTTTTTTCTTTCTATTTTCACATTTTTAAATTTTTTCATATTTTTTGGTTTATCTGTAATATCTTGGCTTTGATATTTCAAATTTTGAATTCTGTTCGATCAAATAATCTAAGCTTGAAATATCAAAGGTTTCCACAAACTCAGATTGCAAACATATAATAATAAGAAAATTTGAGTTTGTTGCAGAAACTCAGATTCTTTGACCTAAGATTGTTTGACAATGGTTAAGAAAGGGAATGTGAGAATTAATAAAACCAATGATTGTGTACGCAATGTACATATCATATTTTTCCTCTGAGTCCGAAATTTAAAAGAGTATTGTTGAACGAAACTCCCGAGTTTCCTTTTTGGGGTCTTAACGTTTGTGTAGATTTTGATTGAAGAGGTTTAAAAAAATGGAAAATATGAAGAAAGTAAATAACCTTAACCCTGTTTCTATCTGATAATAAATAATGATAAATTAGGGATGGGCAAAAAAGTGTTACTTCTTTTTCTTTGATGACAAGAAATTGCGTGTAATTGTTGATGTCAAGGCTAAGAGCATGATAATCTTTTAAATTACAAAAAAAAATAACGTGTTGCATCAGAGTACGTCAGATGTCTGGTTATGTAACCCTGTACTCCTGTATTGGTTCCCAGTCTAAAACCCAGGATTCACCTCTAAATATTGCGCAGTCAAAATCAATGGATTCTCTTCTCAGGTATATTTTCCCATAGAACTTTGTATTAAAGATTTTTGGTTTATAAAAGGGGAAAGGATTCACACCAACCTGATATAAGCATTTCATACCCTGCAGAGAATTTATCCTTTAATTCTTGCAACATATCAAAAATAAACACGAAAATGGGCTTAATCTTTTGTGGGTCCTGTTTTTGCCTTTTATAATCCGTACTACTTGAAATAAACCGGAAATAAAATGTTTTTAAAATTTTTCTTTCTATTTTTCCATTTCAGAATGATGTGAAGAATAATATTGATAACGGTCATAAAAAGTTAATTCCATGCATAAGTTAATTTGATTAATTGTGTTCTGTTTTGATGAAACTGAGAATATGAATTCAGAATATCAGATGTGACTGACACTTTTCTAGCAAAAGACTTATTTTTTTCTTTTTTGTCTAGTTAACACACTTTTTTTAAATAGAAAAATTAAAGAGTTACTTGCACGTAATAAAGCATGAAGCACGGTACCCTGCATTGAATTTTAGACTTTTTTGTGTGTGTGTTTTTTGTGGTTACACATTTTGTTAAAACAGCCTGATAAATTACGAAGACTAAGTATTTGCGAAATGTCTCGTTCTACACATGATTGATCTGCATTTCTTGTTGTTTTACAAAACCAAAGTTTAGTTATCGGCTGATTTAATTTGGATGGCCCAAGCCCAACTTCTCAAGTTTTATTATTCAGAACTTTTTTTTATTTGGTAGTAACAATCTTCAGGCAACAGATAAATTGTAAATCAGTGAACACATTTTATTATCGCTCTTGATTTATTGGACCTAGGTAGATATAATAAAAGAAATTCTCTTAAACCCTCTCACGACCAAATTTAGGGATTAAAGTTTGGACGAAATTAACAAAACAAAAGTAAAGATTATTTGATTGATTGATTTATCAATTAAAGTAAAATTAATAATTTAATTGTTTGATTAGTTGATAATGTAATGACTTATGTAAAGTTGATTAGTTGGTTTTTTGATTGATGGATTAATTTATTATTGTAAAGTTTTTTTTCGATTTAAGTAAAGCTGATTATTTGATTGATTAATTAATTGGTTAACGTATTGTTTCTTATTTAAACGATTGATAAATTGATTAAAATAAAGTTTTTGATTTGATTGATCGATTAATTGGTTAAAGTATTGGTTATAATTATATCGATTGATTAATTGATTAAAGTATTGGACATTAATTGACTGATGAATTGATTAATTGAATGAAGTATTGGTCATTATTTGATTGATTAATTGATTAATTGGTTAAAGTATTGGTTATTATTTAAGCGATCGATTAATTGATTAAAGTATTGGTCATTATTTGACTGATGAATTGATTAAAGTATTGGTCATTATTTGACTGATTAATTGATTAAAGTATTGGTCATTATTTGACTGATGAATTGATTAATTGATTAAAGTATTGGTCATTATTTGATTGATTAATTGATTAAAGTATTGGTCATTATTTGATTGATTAATTGATTAAAGTATTGGTCATTATTTGATTGATTAATTGGTTAAAGTATTGGTTATTATTTAAGCGATTGATTAATTGGTTAAAGTATTGGACATTAATTGACTGATGAATTGATTAACTAGTTAAAGTAAAGTTGTTTAGTAATTGATTAAATGGTTAAGCTAGGTTTATTATTTGATTGTTTTTTTTTCAGGAAAGTTGCTGAAGATAGACAGAGTATAGAACAAGCTAAAAAGGACTTCTTAGAAAACTAGACCAGTCTACAGTGTATACAGTGTACAAATGTACAAGATTCAGGACTTAAATCAAGTACCTTAGTACATGTTTACAGTACAATGATCCAACGCTGAAATCAAGTACAGGAGATTCAAAACCATAGAAAAATAGTCTATAAACCCGTGGTATTTGCAGACATACCAAAAAAAGTTGGAAGAAATCCCTATGACGGCATGACACTTAACCTTATAGCCAAACTCTCTTGATGGTTTGATCTCGACCAGAAGAGAGCATGCCAATTTGAGTGAATGCATGTACATTTTCATGGCACTTGCTAGTTAATTAAAATCTGTGACAGCATCCAATGTGTATCACTCCAGCTTCATTTATATCATTCGTATATCATTCATAACATTAATGAAGTGAATATATGAAAAAATAACAAAATTTACAAAATATCTTTGGGTTGCTTCGATAAAATGAATTGTATCGAATTTGAAGAATTTAAGCTGGGTCGCTGAACTATCTACTGCCAGTATAAATCTTTAATCACCGATTCAAAGCTAAAGATTAAGGAAGTTAATTTAAATCGATGGCTCAAATATGAACCGGCGGTAGACAGTTCAGCCGGGTCTAAAGCTGGCTCAAATTCTTTAAATTCAGTCTGAAGACATTTATCAGTAATAATGTCTTGTTGTGGCCCTAATTCAAACCATCGCTTAAAACATTTTTTTAAATAGCAAGAAGTGGAATTTGACAAAATGTTATATTTTGTATTAATCATTTAAAGTGAAGAGTCACAACTATTTTAAATCCTTACATGGTCATTGCACAATGCACAATGCATTTATTATTGATTAGAACCTGCAACTCAAGACAGAATTTTGATTGTTTCAATGATGAAATAAAAAAAGGGAAATTTTTGTCCAAAATTTATGTTTCTTTGTGATCTTTTTGGTTCAGTTTTAGGGCTAAAAACTTGAGAAAGAGTCCCATTAACCCTTCTTTTGAAAAAGAATTTAGTGTTTGCCATAAACTCTAATTTTCAAATGACTAAATCTTTGCAACCCAAGGTTGTAGAATATATATGGATTAGAAAATTTGAGTTTGTGGCAAATCATCATAAATAATTTTTTGAGAAGCTTAAAGTTTTTTTTTAATGTATAAAGTTTACATCTAAATTTTGGAATAATCCATTACTAAAATAGATTTATATTTATTCTTCATTCTGATACTTTATAGTTTGAATTATTTGTAAAACAACGTTACATTATTCTTTACTACAAGGCTAGGTATTTTATTCATTACTTCATTTATTTTAGAACACTTTGAAAAAAAAGCTTGTTAGGGTTGTTAGGTCTATTCCTAAAATTTAGCCATCTTTATGCTTTTATGTTTTAACATTCTTCATGGTTCAAGCGTTTTTATTTATCGCTCTAACATGTTCTAATATTTCGGAACTTGGTTTATGGTTTAAGCTAACATGTTGTATAGAACTAAAATCTTCAACTGTAATAACATAAATTAGAGTTTGTGTGATAATTATGAAAAAAATGTAAAAAAAGAGAATAGTATTGAAGTCGTGACTATTGTAATTTGTAAAAATTTAACAAATATATACAAAATCTAAATCTTGATACATCAAAAATGCATGGGACAGGGAAGTGCCATAGAAATAAACTAGATAGCCAAAAAATAAAAAAATGTTAGAATTGACACAAAAAAAGCGTGGAGAAGAATCTGAAAAAGGTCCCACTGAAAATTGCTAGTTTATAAATTTTTATCAAACTATCCCCCCCCCCCTGGGGAAATGACAAATTTGACATTAAAAGGCAAATTTTTTCTTCCTTTATCATACTTTTTACCAAAAAATGAGTCCCCTCCGCTGCAGACAAACATGTCGAAAACATTTACAAAAAGAAGAATGTAAACAACTAAAATGAGATGATTTGTCCTCTATAACCCTGGTGGTGTTTTATCTTCAATTATAATTTCCAAGAATCTTTGAGTTTTGTAACAATCAGTTTTTTTATTTTATAAAATGAGGTGATAAGAAGGAGAATCGGTTTTCCAGTATAAATATCAGAACAGAATCCATTTAATTTCAGTTTTGTTAGCTCATTGAAAACATCATGACTTCTTTGATTCTTCCACTCTTCTTTTTCTTGATAGGTAGGATTACATTTTGTATATTTCACAATCAGAATGGATTTGAATGGCTTAATTATGTATTTCAAAAATCTGCAAAAGAAATGCTTAAGACACTTTGGTAGAAAAATCAAAATAATCAGATTTCCAAATTTTAAACATTCATGGGCATTGCCATCTTTGTATGGAGGGTCACTTGAAATGAATCTCCCGTCCTTTAATTTTGTAACAATTTGTTAATAGTGTCTTCATCAATGCTCAAATATATTTTATTCCTTTTTTGTTTTTGTTTTCTATCTAAAAATGAATAACCTGTATTTTTAAGGATCTCTCTATGGCCAGGAGAAAGCTACTTGGGTTGACATCTGTGCTAATGGGTTCAATGTTCCTTATGAGTGTTGCCATAAAAACTTAGTAGCAGGCACTGATGAAGGTATGGAGGGTCATCAATACTATATAGACATCACTACTCCTAGAGATTACTTTTATCAGCATATTCATTGTTTATCCAATACCTTCGGAGACTCCACCCATGGATATCAGCTAGCAACCTTTGAAACCAGGAAGGAGAACTATTGTGTAGCAAAGTATATCAACATGATGTATCCTACGTCCAACTTCAACTTCTACATTGGACTTCAAGCAGATACTTCAGATTATCTGAAAAATGCATTTTTCTGGGATGATCCAATGGTCTCCTCACTTGCAGCAAATCCTGATGCTAATGTTCCAACCTTTACTAACTGGGCTTATAATGCTCCTAATGGACAGGACTGTGTAAGAATGAATACTGGAAAAACGTTGGCAACCAGTGGACTCTGGAATGATGTAGCATGTAATTCTGTCCTTTTCGCTATTTGTGAGCGATATACAAAATAATTTGTGCATAGAACATGTTTAAATTCTTCAATTTTTAAATAATAAATGTAACGAAAGCATCCTTATTTATCATAATAAAGCGTAATCTTTTCAATTTCTCAACACATTTAAAGATGTCTGTATTTTAAGACCCACATGTTGATAGGGAGTAAAAATGAGTTTAAAAAAAACACCTAGTAAGTGAGCTTTACTGATGTATGGTCTTTACTGATGAGTGATCCTTACTAGAGTGCTGGTTAACTTTGTGTGATCGATAACAATTTGTATCAATTTCTTATTTTTGATAGAACATTTTGCAAATTTAAAAATCAAAAGTTTTTGTTTCAATTCTTAACTGAATTACAATTGCAATGGGCTTGGCTAATATCTAATTTTTCTCAAAAAATTTTAGACCCAAACATACCTTTGAATTAGCTTCTTGTTTAGAAACATATTTTTCAAAAGAAATTTGTGATTAAATGAATGGTAGAATCAATTATTTCTTTATCATAATTATATTGAAATCTTTATTTTTTATACATTTCTTTATCAAAATCATTTTTTAAACATATAAATTTTTGAAATTTCAATTTGTTTGCTCCTTCTAACATTAAAGAGAAATATTCTTTTTTTAATTTTTGAAGTAAAAAGTAGAGTGTGCTCGTTTTCTTTTCATCTGAAAACTTAATTAAGATAATGTGTGAACTTTATCATCTGTCACAGTCACAGTCGGATGATATATTTTAAAATTTTTTTTTTTTAAACTGAAATAGTTCAAAACCAAGGGTCGCACATAATATTCATGTTTTTCGATTCTTTTGATTTTTAATCTTGTTTCACTATAATCAGTTAATCTGTATACATGTTAAACAAAATAAATATATTAACATTTTTATCTTTGTGTAATTATCAAAAGAAAAAATGTAAAAAGATAAAAGTGTGCCGGCAATGCAAACAGTATACAGCATGTTTTTATGACAAGAGAAAGGTATAGGATAGAAGGGGGGGTGGGAATTCGTAATTTTATTTTCAAAATTGAGGAGCAATGTTAACATGCTCTCATCAGAAAAGACGTAATGCTTGAAAAGGAATTGAGTTTTTGCCACAAATTAAAATCTTCTGATTCCAATATCTTTGGAATCTGATGGTGCAAATCTTTGATATTTCAAACTTAGATTATTTTATCTATACGTATTAATAGTTTGAAATATCTAAGGTCTACGACATTGGGTCACAAAGATATAGAGATTAGAAAATCAGAGATTGTGGCAAAAACTCAACTCTTTTTCACCTCAAATTTGTTGCGATTTTTTCCAGATTAGTTGCGTATTTGCTGAATATGATCTGTTTAACCTACTATTACTATTTTTGTACGAAATCAATATAATAAAACAAGACATTCCTATATATATATATATATACGTTGCGCATAGCTGGACTGATTGGGTTGAAATTTTGTTGTGGACACATGGGTGGTCGGAGGGTGTCATAGGCTTAAAAAATTCGATATTTTTTCATCTTACTAATTTTATTTTTCCACTGGTAACGCCGGGCCCTTCAGCTAGTTGTGTATAAATAGATTTTCATATAAATTTGAAATTTAACACATTTTTATATAAATTTGACACAGTTTTATATAACTTTCTCGAGACAGGAACATCAGATAGAACTTTCATGTCCCAATCAGCTCTTAAGATACTTAGGTTTCAGTCTATACCCCCTTTAATTTTTCCTTTACAGTCCCTTTAGCTAAGATGAAAAATATTATAGATCTAAAAAAACTACGGTAATAATTATGATTTAATTCTAAACATGAGTTGAAAGAAATGAATCTACGACAAGCTGACTAAAGACTTATACTATTATAATGTTAATAAAGAAAATGTTGTCAAATATTCTAGAAAACTCTAGAAAAAAAGGGAACTGTGAGAACATCAAGTTATTTCAAGAACTTGTATTTTCTAGAAAATCTGTCCGAAGACAATTCCCCTGAAATTGACATGGATAAATCAATCGGATAAATGTCTAGAACATTTTTACAGGGTACACAAGGATTGTTTTTTTTTTTGTATTTTAGAAAAAAGATTAACTTTTAAAAACTCTGTTTTTTCTAATCCATATATCTTTGTAACCCAAAGTCGTATACCTTACATATTTTAAACTATGAATTATATTAGATCAAATAATCTTCCTTTGAAATATCAAAGGTATATATCATTAGGTTGCAAAGATAAAGGGATTATAATATATAAGTTTGTGTCAAACACTCAATTCCTTTGAAATATAAAATGTTTCTTTCATGAAATTGTACATTTATAACCCCTGAGAGATTTCCGATATGTCAGATATTTAAGATTAATCTATCTGACATTTACACAACCTTTAACCAAAGATAAAGTTGGCCAGAAGGAAACAAAATAAAAACCTAGAATGGTTTTGTTAATGAAGGTTCTACTCGTGCAAGAACTTGACGAATTGTTGCTAATTAATAATTAAGTTTTATTGTTTTAATTGTTTGTTAAAAGTAAATACTTATTAATTCGTTTAGCTAATATACGATGCTGTTTGGGCCCTTTTTGGTAATAAGTTAAGCTTTTTACTTCTTCGTTTATTATTTATAATACAAACTAACAGAAAGAAAAAATAGATTCTTAATATTGTTTTTTTATTCTTTTACATAAACGGACTTGACAACATTGGTAAAGTGAAATAAGGCACACCTTGAATTAGGTTAAGAAATTAGAATAGGTTCTACAAAAATATCAAAGTTGTATATTTCTAAACATTTGCTTTTCTGTGCACAATGCCAAATTTTGACACTGCAAGAAAATATGTGAAAAAAACGAGCTAATTTGAACCATACATATATTTTCTCTTGAGATAAAATTTAAGTTAAATAAATGTCTCCCAATTTATGATTTGGGAGATTTAAGCTAGGCATAATAGAGATTTCAAAAGATTAAATCATTTAAAGATTATGAAACGGCTTGCAGAAAAAACCGGTTTTCTTGAATATTATGAATGAAGGACGGAAGAGGTTAGTCTTGTTTTTAATTGGGGAAACAAATTATCATTGCAACCAGATCTTTTCTCCTATTAAAACAGCCTTCTCTCCCAAACCATGGACGAAATATTAGGGGTAGGGGTAGTGGCACACCGCACCCATATAACTTCCATTCCACTCACAAACGTGGAACATATATCTATATGATAAAGCTTTTCGCTCATTTCCATGTTGGCTGTAGCTGAAAAAAAATTATTTATCCACAGAAAATTTCATTGCATACTGAGAAAAGCTGAGTTTTTGAAATGTCCTATTACATGTCCGTTGTCCATCTCTGAATAAATGTTGAAATGTCGCATCCTATACAGTTAAATAAACTTTTTACTTCGAATCACTTTAAAAGCACTTATGTTTGTGTGAAATAAAAAAATTACTGGTTTATTACAAATTGCACAATTGCAGTTTCAAGTTTTATTTTAATACATCATATGATATTTAACAAAATAATTAAAATTAATTATTAATCACCTTTTAAGTATAACATAATAAGTCAAAACATATAATTTGATTAATCTATTCGATATACATTTCAATTAATAGAAAAGTTTCAAGTATTAATAAAAAGATTTTTATATTTGACCTTTTCAGATCTATATAATGAACAGAAAGAAGAAGATCTAAATTTTGATCATTTTGATCATTATTTTGTATATCAGTATGCTCAGCAAGCTCTTAAACATGTTAAGAAATAAGGGTTTCATCGACTAGCAAGTGTAGTATGAATAGACACAAAATTGACTAGTCGACTAGCAAGTGTAGTGTGAATGGACACAAAATAGACTAGTCGACTAGCAAGTGTAGTGTGAGTAGACACAAAATAGACTAGTCGACTAGCAAGTGTAGTGTGAGTAGACATAAAATAGACTAGTCGACTAGCAAGTGTAGTGTGAGTAGACACAAAATTTGAAAATAATATTACATGCAGTTTCTTAAATAAAAACAGTTAGGTTCAAAAAATAAATTTGTTTGAATAAGAATATTCTATGATGTTCCTTGAATATAAACAATGTTAAAAAAGAAACATCCATGTTGCTTCTTGCATAAAATCAATTGGTTTAGAACAAAAAATACTATTTTCTTCTTTCATAAAAAAAATATTCTATCTACTTTCTTGATTAAAATCAATTGGTCTGAAAAAATATTTCTATGTATACAATGATTTTAGCTTTTCCTTGAACAAATGCAGTTTTTTAAAAAAAATCCAAGGTGTTTCTTGACTAAAAATCATGTGGTTTAAAAAAGGAATATTTTGCAATATTTCTTAAATAATTCAATGCTTGAAAAAAAATGATATCTTGATGCTTGTAAATTAAATTCTCAAAACAAAAAGCTCCACGGTATTTATGAAACAAACCAAACAAAAAGAATATTTTACGATATTTATAAAAAATAATCAATTGGTTTGAAAAAAATATACTATGTTGTTTCTTACAGGCATAAAAAATTTTGCATTATTTTTAGCATAAAAACAGCATATTGCACAGTTTTTAGCATTATTTTAGTTGGTGTTTGTGAAAGAAACCGAAAGAATATTTTACGATGATTGCTGAATGTAATCACTTGGTTTGAAAATATCAACTGGCTGATAAACAAATGTCCCGGCATCTGATACCTAAAAATATTATTTATATATTTTACAAAACAAAACAAAAACCATTTTCGAAATAAAAAGTTGTGTTTTAAAATAAATAAAATGTGTTGTAGTTGAACAGACAAAAAAATGTTACAATTGTGAATAATCAGAAAGAAGCTGAGTTTTTTTTCCACAAACTCGAACTTTCTAATCCCTGTAGAAACCTGAATGGTTTATTATTATAATTAGAGACCATTTGATCTAGCAGAGTTCTTATGTTAAAATTTGAGGTTGCAAAAATATACGGATGAGAAAATCAAAGTTTGTGGCCAAAACTCAATTCCTATACTATGACATAAATTTTTACCGGAAATTCTTCAACTTTGAGAAAGTCTATAACCTATCTTTCTCTAGAATTTGGAGCATCTGCGTAAACATTTCCAGCTTTTCCTCTAGATTTATAATATTTTCCGCTAATTCTGCGTGGTTTGCCGCTAAATTACTCCTAAATAGAAAAAAAATTCAATCAATTAATTAAAAAAATAACTCCACGCAATATTTTTGATTATGTTCATCCTTATCCATAAAAATGCTTGACCATGAGCTTAAAAAGTAAAAGCATTTATTTTTCAGATATGAATATAGAATTTATCCGAATTTTTTATTTTAGGCATTATCGTCAAACTCTTAAAGGGATTCTGAACACAAAATTCTAAGTAATCCTACAATTATAAAGGTGCATGGTCGATTTACAACGGTACCCTGTAAACTTTTATCAGATCGAGGATGCAAGAGATTCTTGTTTATCTAGTTGAAAATTTTTTATTTTTTATTTAGGACTTGAGTGAATTAAGGATTTATTCTGAATGATGAAATAATTGTCAGAATTTAACACACGACAGAAAAAGGCCGATATATTCTTAGAATGGGACCTTTATAAATCGGAAACTCATTATATTTAGGGTCACTTAAAATTACGTGGATAGACTAGTCTTTAACTTCAAAAGTTAAGGGCCTTGACTGGCCCTGAAAGGTATAAAAAAGATGTAAACTTTTTAATTTTGTTCGTGGATACCAGTACCTAGCCATGCTAGCAGTGTTAGCTGCGAACTGAGATACCGTCTCATCCTTGCATTTTAAAAATGTTTTTGGTTCCAAATTTTCCATTTTCTGAAACAGAAAATATACTTTTACAATAAAGTGCACGGTGTACGACAGGGGTAAATTTTTCTCGAATTTCATAATTCGTCTAATCTTTGGTAGAATAATCTGCATTATACCTTCTTATGAACAAATTTCCAAAATTTTATATATTTACCCCAAGGTAAAATTATCTATACAAAAGTTTCAATAATCTCTCAAATGTAGTTGACGACTTTTTCCCGGGGTGGGGGGGGGGGGGAAGATCAATGAGAATATAAACACCCCTGTTGTATTGTGGAATGTGATCGTGTCGATAATTATGCTGTGCTGAGTTAAAAATGAAGCTAAATGAATAAATATAGAAAAATTCATAGATTTTAACAAGATAAATATACATAGTAAAATAGACTATGGTATAAACGAACTAAAGTTTATGCATGATGGTAAAAACAGAACAAACTTTTGTGTAAAAATTTTTCTAGTAGCTAAAACTTAATCTCTGCATAACCCAATAAGAATAAAACAATAAATTCCAATTGTTTGTGTATTCATGAATAATTAAATAATATAGGGAGGCGTATTTAGGGGAATTAGCCATAGTACACCTCTACATTGAAAAAAACCTCTCAGGACTGGATTAATTTTAATTGTAATCATAATGATCCCAAGTAAACATAGCTATTTTTTCATTATCAGATAAACTGATATTAAACTGGATCCTTATACTTAAATAAATTATATCTATCTACTGTGCTGACAGTGCAAACTTAACATAATACATAAATTAACTTAAGTATAGTGGTCGGTATTTATATCAATACAATGAAGACGACTTTTGTATTAGAGTTCTGATAATTAATAAGCTTTTTTTTCGAATTACAAGTTTACAAGTAAAAAAGAGAGGCCGTTATTTAATTGCTTTATTTGTTTCCTTGATTATATATATCCATGCTAGGTTTAAAGAGCGTGATAGAAAACTAAATTGAAATCATAAATCGTCTTCGTTGTATTGATATTCGACGACTAGTGGCGAGAGGAATTCTAACAAAGTGTGAATATAGATGTATCTTTGTTTATATTATACTTTTGTGATCTTAAAACAAATCTTATGGTTTAAAAATGCTGATCAAATGAAATACGCGGAGTTATATCTCATAAAACTAATATACATTATGAATATTCATAAAAATAAAAAATCACAGTGAAACCCAAAAAACTGTAAAATATGAAGACGGAATTTAAGCAATCTTACGTGTGTTTGTTGTTGTTATACAGCAAATAGGTTGAACAGTAGCTTGAGAATAAACTTATTGAAACGGGTTTGTATCAAGGTTCTTTATAATAGGTTGGTTACTCTGGCAGTGAGTCTGGATGCGCTCCGATGTACGGAAAATGTTGTCTCCTTAGATCGAAAGAATCCGCATATGACATCACTGATTATAGAGGCGAGCGCGACGTCATTTGCAGATTCTATCTATCCATGCTAAGGAGACGACCTTTTCCGTACATTGGAGCGCATCCAGAGTAACCATAACCAACCATATTGAAGAACCTTGGTTTGTATACAGTACACTTTGCTGTGTTTTATGTTCATTGGACTATTTAAAGTCATAACAGTGTGTTCTTGTTGCACAGGTTTCTGGGTCCCAGTGAACTATTCACAAATACAGAAAACATAAACAAAATCCCTTAACTCGAGTACAATACAGTGACCAAACTAAACTGAACATATAAGGTTAATCTCTTTAAAATATAAAAATACAATTATTAATAATTATATCACATTTTAGCGGTTTAAAATATAAAAATGGTTTAATATTTAACAAGAATAAAATTCAAATCAACAATGGAAAATTTTTAAAATTTTTCAAGTTGAAAACGTAAGCTCACTGAAATTAAGTAGTCGATGAAAAATAAAAACAAGGTTTTGAGAATCACGTTTCAAAAAGTAAAACTGTATTTTAACGGATTGTCCAGATATTTATGTTAAGTGGAAGATACTTGTTTTAAATAATACCATTCTTAAGTTTCAAAAATAAACTGCACTAAAAGGTGTTTTTTTTTTCCATTTCTGTGGTGTTTGAAATATTTGAAACTTAGTTTTACATTTAAAACGCTAAATATCAAGAATCTAAGATCTGCTGTAAAAACAGGAAAGTTATCGGTTAGAAGTATCCTGCAACTTAGAACTCTGGTTCAAAACTCGGTATCCTACCAACTCCTCAAATATCTGAACAGTCTCTTAAAGTAATTAATAATTTATTTTGAGATTTGAAATAAAGTTTTTCCTTTATTGTCCAGATTAAAAGGATGTTATGACAGCAGTATTCAGAGGAGTGATCATTGTCTCATATTTATTTAGGTTTAAAAGTAATAAAAAGTTTTTTTATCAATTTTTTATTGAACATCCAAGGTGCAGTGATTTTTTGTTTGGATTTCTATCAGCAAATCTAGTCTGATTTTCTGCTTGAGTTTATGAGAGCAGTTCTAGACTTATTTCCTGCTTGAGTTGATAATAGCTGTTCTAGTCTGATTTTCTGCTCGGTTCTGGAGCTGCTGCTCTCTCTGCAAGAAATCTATCAAACTCGCTTGTAGTTCCTCCCTCCAACCCCTCAACCACATCCTTGTCTCCGATCCAGTCCGCCACATTAGCCATATCTTCATCCTAAATAAACATGCATTGCAGGGTGTCTCACGATATATAACAATTCAGACACATCTTGAAGATTGTCTTTGACCTTCTAAATATTATACGACAGCATTCTTTTTGTCAGCCTACTTTTATAAAAAGTCTAAATTTGAACAAAATTCTTCATATCTTCAGTAAATTTTAGAAACCACGAAAAAGAAACATTTTTTGAAAAAGCCAGTACTACAAAAATTTTGTAAAAAAATATTTCTTGTAAAATTAGGTTGAAGAATGAATGCCGAATATTATTTCAAAGATCAAAGACGACCTTAAAGTCGTCTCTCGTCTGTCATATTTTGTGAGACACCCTGTATTTTTAACAATCGGGTTCGTCATATGTGTTAGATGTCATCCTTGAAGAATTGTATTTCGCCAAGCAAGCAATTCTAGATTCAACATTTTTGATTTTTAGGCCCCGTAGTTTTAAAACCACTTTAGAATAAAGAGTGAATGATGAACATTTTATGATGATTAGAACATCACGTAGATACAACCAGTGCTATAGGATTCCCGTTAAAAAAATAATTGATCAAAGCTCATAAATATGTTTCACTAAATTCCAGAACATTTTCTTCTTCCGAATCCGTTAAGGACAAAAAAAATTTGTTCCAAAATTAAAAAACTTAATTTTTTATTAAAATTATATTATTTTATTGAACGCTAAATCCTACCTTTATTTTAACGAGGCTAGGTAGTGGAAGGGAAGTAGGTTCAGCTTCAGACCCAGAGAAATCAATTAAAGGTACTTCAGATACTGGTCTGGGGGCTGGGGGGCCCTACAGTACATTTAGTTCAGATGGGGCCCAACAGTACATTCTGTTTTTAGGGGGCCCTAGAGTACATTTAATTTAGAGGGAGCCCTACAAAAGAGGGGCCCAACAGTACTTTCGGTTCAGAGGGGGCCCAAAAAAACATTTAGGTTAGAGAGGGCCCTAATGGATTACATGGGGCCCTACAGTAGAAGGGGCTGTACAGTAGAGGGGGCCCAACAGTACTTTCAGTTTAGAGGGGACCCTACAATACTTTCAGTTTAGAGGGGGCCCTATAGTACATTTGCCCTACAGTACATTTAGTTTAGAGGGGGCCATACAGTACTTTCAGTTTAGAGGGGGCCCTACAGTACAGTAAATTTAGTTTAGAGGGAACATTACAATACATTTAGTTTAGAAAAGGCCATACAGTTCAATTAGTTTGGGCCCTACAGTTCTTTTCGTTTAGAGGAGGCCATACAGTACAGTTAGTTTAGAGGGGGCCCTATAGCACTTTTGATTTAGAGTGGCCTTTCAGTACATTTAGTTCAGAGGGGGTCATACAGTAATTTTAGTTTAGAGGGGGCCAGTGCGTAGAATCCATTTATTTTTGATGTGGATCCGGATCCAGGTCATGTTCACATTTATTAAGATTTACTGATTTTTTTAACAAAGGAAGAATTTTTAATTATTTACTTCCTTTTCCTCCCTTATTCTTATGCATCAACTTGATGAAGTATTCAGAGATACGGCCATTTTTTAAAACCCCTCTTTTTTAACTGTGTCTAAAGGGAGGTCCCAATAGTACATAATAGTCATGAAATAATGTAATAAAATACTTACAGCTGGAGTTCGTCTGATTGCTCCTTGGCTTTGTCCTTTGTTTTTCTCATATCTTAAAAATAACAACATCAATTTATTAGCAGATCCTCCCAATCTTTTAGGAATCACACACTGGGAAAAAAATGAAACATTGGTCATCAAAGGACGATTTTTTTTTTATCCTTTTAGATACTTTTACTCCAATAAATTAGTTATTTCTCTCTAAAATTGATCAATTTTCCATAATATTTTTCTATAAAATATTCTCCTCAAGGAACTTTTTTATCTTAAGATAGTTTTGCCATATACAAGGAGAAAACAATGTTACCCCAAAGTTCTTTATTTCTAAGTTTAGCCAGAACAAACAATTATTTTTTTCTAATAAGATGATTATCTAAGGAACAGTTTACCTGTCATATCTTAGGAACAGGTTGTTCATGTCGTCGTTGACCTCCAGGAGCTCAGCGGTCAGCTGGTCATCATCCACCTGTACAGCTTACTATTAAGTACCACCGTTGGAGTACATATACATTTTTTACTTTTATTGTAAAATAAACCTTGTAAAGGAATATATTCTATTAAACTTCTAATTCTATGACTTCAGGCATAATGTCTATATTTCTTAAAGGGTGTATACTGTAAAGTGTATACAATAAACATAGATATGTCATTCTCTCAAAACCAATTCGTCCATTGTTTCTAGAAATCAAATACTTTTAAGTGATTAACATGACTTACATTATTGTTGGTTGTGAATAAAGACTAAAAAAAGTGTGGGTAATGGAAAGTGTTTCAAAAACATTCCTTTTCACAAAAAAAAACTTGAATTTGATTTTACCAAAACAGTTTTATTAAATCTATATAACAGAGCTCTTCCCTAATATATATAAATTTGTATATATGTTAGCTATAGCTGGACAAAAAGCTGGACAAAATTGGCTGAATTTTTTTTAAGGGAACCCTTGGTTGCCAGGGGAGTAACATTGGCTAACTTTAACATCAGCTAGAATTAATATATATACATATGCCAGATATAGCTAACATATATACAAAAATATATATGAGGGAAGAGTTTTATTATATAGAATTAATATATATATATGTATATAACTAAATGGCATTGATATCTTTTAAAGAAAATATAAAATATGCCGGGGGTTAGATAATTCTGAGTCTACCTGATCTATAAGTTCAACTAATCTAGTCTGCATTGATCTACAGGTAACATAAAGCTCATCAAATAAAGATTTATCCTAAAGGAATAAAAGATTAAAATCTTAATCATGCAAAGTTGACGTTATCTATAACAGAAAAAAGTAACTTGAATCTTGGGGTCCGTCCGTATATACGATTTTGGGACCCCCCCCCCCATCCTATCAATTTTGTACATGACTTTTGATTTTTCAGAAAAAATATTATTATTTAATTTTTAATTATTTTAGGTTAAGTTAGGAAATTTCTGGGCCAAGCGCTGCGACCAGGATAGTCTAGGGGCCGAGCCCTGCGGCTAGGACAGGCTAGAGAGCTTTGCGCCGCGGCTAGGGGGCTGGGCGCTGCGGCCACGTTACCAATTATATCCATATGTTATATTTGAGATCATAAACAAAATTGATAGGAGGGGGAGGGAGGGGGTCCAAAAATCATATATTAGGAAATTACCGAATCTTGGCTTATAACAATAAAATATGATAAAATCCAGATTACCGTTTTGTCTGGAATGTAATTATTATGTTTGTTAAAGCTTTTAGGTGGGTATAATATCCTAATATACGATTTTTGGAACCCCCTCCCCCCCGCCCCCTCCTCTCAATTTTGTGCATGGATCTTATATGTAAGACATGGACATAATTGACCATGTGGCCGCAGTGCCCGACCCCCTAGCCTGTCCTAGCCGCAGAGCTCGGCCCCCTAGCCTTTCCTAGCCGCAGTTCTTGGTCCAGAAAGTGTCTTAACCTAACCTTGCCCTAAAAAAATACTAATTTAAATAAAAATTGTTGAAAAAGTGATCATGTACAAAAGTGATAGGAGGGGGAGGGGGGGGGGGGGGGAGTCCAAAAATCGTATACTAGGACGAACCCATTAGGTGTACAAATTATAAAATGTCTATTCTCTAAAAATTAGTAAAATTGTAAATGTAATTAAAATATTCTGAAATATTTTTATTGTTAGAATTTATTTCTTTGTGTAGAGAAATTAGGAGTGGGGGGGGGATATTTGAGAGACTAGGAAGGGGAGGGGAGATATTGGAAATACTAGAGGGGTTGATACACACCTGAGGATGTTCTTTCCCAGGAGTAAGCTCCGTCAGCATTTCACTGAAAACCGCCATATTCTGCTGGGTTAATAATAGATCTGATCTAACTTTTACAACCTGCTCCTCGCTCATACCAACCATCTTAAAAATAGATAACAATTTCTGAAAAAAAATTTAGATATAATATTTATAGGTCATAAAAATTTATAATGGTAATTTCCTAAAAACGATTTTTGTAAGATATGGATATAGTTGACCATGTGGCCGTAACGCCCGGCCCCCTAGCCTGTCCTAGCCAAGGCGCTCGGCCCCTAGCCTGTCCTAGCCGCAGCGCTCGGCCCAGAAAGTGTCTTAACCTAACCTTGCCCTAAATAAATACTAATTTAAATAAAAATTGTTGAAAAAGTGATCATGTATGGAGAAACTGATTGAGTTGAAGTTGCTTTCACTTGAAGAAAGATGTAAGCGGGCCGACATGATTCAGACATTTAAAATAATTCATGGATTCTGTGATGTCAACCCTGCAATATATGGTTTAGAAAGATCAACCACAACAGAGTGACAAGAATGGCTAATGACCCTTTGAACTTGGAAATACAAAACTCCAGGACCAGTATCAGGAACAATTTCTTCAGCTTGAGAATTCCAAGAAAATGGAACTCTATCCCACAAGAAGTTAAACAGTCGACTACAGTGAATATCTTCAAGAGAAGCTATGGCAAATTCAGACAGTATCCGTGAGATGCTGATGCAAGATTACCAGTTACAAAGTCTATCAGAACCATCATCAGCAACTCCAAGTCTTCAAAGACATCCTCATTATAACTCTACATNGGGGGGGGGGGGGTTCAAAAATCGTTCTCTAGGACAGACCCTAAAAACCCATGTTTATTGGAAGAAGTGAAGATATAGAATGGGGAAGAAGAGAAGGAAGGAAAGTTTTTATGCATGACTAATTCCTTTACTTTAGGCTTCAGAAGTAATTTAAACGAAAACATTAAAATACTTTAATAACTGATTAATTTAGAGAAAATTAAACTTTACAGAAGAAAATTTTATGCGTTATGTCAAAGTGTAGCCATTATATTTGATTTCTGAATAAATTTATTTGTTTACAAAGTAAATTATTTTATTATATCTTAGAAATGAACGCGGTATTCAAGAATTTCAAAGACGACCAAAACAGGGATGAAGAAGAAAAAATAAAAGATTTAAAAATATCACTATTTTTCCAAATGCTTTGTGCAAATAAAATATATTTTCAATAAGTTTATTTTATTTTCTAAGGCCGCCCCCACCCCCTTCTCATGATCGATTGGCTGTAATCAGCTCAGCTGCTCAACTGTGTGCCTCCCCTATCCCGTCATGTGAGAAATCAAAACAAACCAGATACTTGTGACGCTATCAAGTATCAAATTGTACTTTAAATATTTGTGCGTCAGTATTATCAAAAAAGGCGTCACATCAATGTTTTTACTATTAAAGTATGCTGGCGATAGCAAGTAAACTTGATTTATAAAGGTGTCAAATTGTTTATTTATTTTCAAAAATCTTAATTTTCAGAAAGAATGGCGAACGAAAGAGAACAGAAGCAGTTAGAACTCGGAACCGAAGCTTTGGGCGGCAGAATAACTGATATAAAATCCTCCCTGGGCCAACTTATACTTAAACTTGAAACTGATCCTAACTTAAACTGGCATTCCTTTCTGGACAGCTATGCTCTAATATCAGGTATTTTGTAATACTACGCTACGTATGACTGGGGGGGAGGGTACGTCCCTGTACACGCCCCCCCCCCTCCTACTCTTTTCAATCATGTTTTTCCCTAGTTGTAATCTTTACTGTAGGGTTTGAAAGTGATTGTAACGTTTAGGTCAGATGAACTCGTTGTTGAAGCAAATGAAGCATGAGAAGACTCCACCCTTGAAGAAGTACATCACACTCCCCCTCCTTCTCTCACCAGATAGAGACGAAGATCTTCTTAAACTCACAGAACACAGGTCATAGGATTTAAGATATTTCCAGTTTGATAGTTTTTAAGGTTGTTTGGTTGCTAAGTTGGTAAAAATAGGGTCCGTCCTAGTACACGATTTTTAGACTCCCCCCCGCCCCCCCTCCCCCTCCTATTAATTTTTTACATGACCACTTATTTTTCAGCAAAATTATTATTATCTATTTTCATTTTTTTAGGGTTAGGTTAGATTAAGACAATTTCTGGGCCGAGCGCTGCGGCTAGTACAGGCTAGGGGGCCGATAGATATGTCTATGACAGGTTAGGCGCCCAGCGCCGCGGCTAGGGGGCTGGGCGCTGCGTCTATGACAGGTTAGGGGGTCGAAGGCCGCGGCTAGGACGGGCTAGGGGGCCGGGCGCTGTGGCCACATGACCAATTATATCCATGTGTTGCATATAAGATCCGTGTACAAAATTGATATGAGGGGGGGGGGGCTCCAAAAATCGTATATTGGGAAATTACCGACAAAATAAATGGTTTCTAGAGGAAACCGATTAAAAAATGGTTGGACAAGCATGCCAATTGCCAGTCAATGTTCAACTTTCAGATTATCGTTTTTTACATCGAATTTTAGTTTTTTTTTAAAACTTCGATTGGAGAAATCAGCCATGATTCGTTCTAGCCCCCACCTACTTGAAGATCGTGAATAAACTTTTTCATTATTTATATTGTTTAGGGTGACAACGTTTAGCCATGACCTGATCCCGAACTACCTGAGGACCAGGCCGGACCCGGAGATAGAGGCGAGGTATAATACCCTCGAGACTAGAGCTAACGGAGCTAGCCAGGTATTTTTTTTATTGTTCGCTTGATTATTCTTACCATTTTCTACATCACTATTTTACCTGCAATCCTTTTGTACATTTAAACAAAACAATAAAATGTCACGCACATTGTGCAAAATACAAAAAAAATCTATAAAAAATAAATTAAACAAAAATTAACGATGATGTGAGTTAAAATGATAAACTTAGTTTTCTCTGTTAAGGATCAGCAGCAGAAACAGATCGCTGTGATGGAGAAGATCACGAGGGAGACCTTGAAGCTCATCCGGAGAGAAAGGGATGAGATGGAATCAAAATCTAGCTCAAGGAATCAATCAATCAATCAATTTTTAGAATTTTTAGTTAACATAATCATTGAATTAAAAATTTACAAGATCGAGTGGTTTGGATTTTTAATTGTTAATTGACAAACCTAGGAACCCATCTTTGTCTAGAAATCCAAACTTCCCCCTTTCAAATAGGCGAACTAAATTTAAAATACTTAAACCAAACTAAGAACTATTAAGTTCTCCAATCAAAATCGGAGGGGTTAAGAGTTACGGTCGGAAATACGATCAAACGAATATTGTAAACAATATAAGATAGATGCAATAAAGTAACCATCAACTGATACATTTTTATGAACTTTTCAGTGCATTTTCTGAGGATTTGATTCAATTTATTCAATTGTTAATGCTTATTATCAATTGCTTAAAGTTTAAAAAATACATGCCATGATTGAATTGAGCCTTTAATAGACCTGAAGCTGAAATTACGTACAGAAATGAAGATACACAATCTCTACTAGCTGCTATAAATAATGGAAAAGGTTAGTGTTAGAAGGTTAAATAGATAATCAATTAAAAATTATTCAGTTAGATCGGACAGAGATTAATTAGCTTTATGTCAAGTAATATTTCATGCCAGTTAAATACAGATGTTTCCTACTTTACTCATATGCGACTAATCTGAAGGTCTAGTTTTCCCTGTCGTTAGTTATTTTTATCATTTTTGAAGTGTTACCAATGTTTTTCTAATGAACTAAAAAGATTTTAATTCTGTTTTATTTTGCCGCCTTGATCGGAATCTGTGAATCTGAACTTTTTTCCCTTCCGGATCTGAATTAGCCTAATTATTGCGTATCCAGAGTATCCAGATTCTAACCAATTAAACCGGATAATCATATTGTCCATTAAAAACTGTACATGCCGGATTTACAAGTGTACCCATTAGCCCTCTATCGAACTAGTTCAAAAAGGAAGATATTATCGTTTTTCTGTGTTTGAAATGGTTACAAATTCTCTCATTCCCCTTCCTTTTCTTTAATGCACAAAGAGAGTCACTATTACAAATAACCCCAGTAAAAAAATAATGATTTTCGCAAATAGAAAATAATCATATCTCCATAATTTTTACTCAGGAGGTTCACTTGAAATTAATTTAACAAATCTTGTTTAGGATTGAAGACTGTAGCTCCTGTTCTACCCTCCCGACAGAGTCCTGCCCCCAGCCAGCAGATGCAGAACGTCAAGGCTCCATCAACAATTAAAACTAATATTAAAGCTGCCAACACGGTGCATCCTTATCAACGATAGGAGGACTTAGCAAACCTTGTATTAAGAGTGATATGTCGTTTTTTTACAGTATTTCTTTAATAATTATTTCAACGGGATCATCTCAAAAGTTATTTTTTTAATATTTATAAAAATCCGCTGTAAAAAAATCTGTTTTTTATTTGCCTTTCAAATTGTTCATCTGATGCTTGCATATGTAGTATGTTTTATTACTGTTTCAGAGATTTTCCAAACCAAAACAATAATCTTTGTAAATTATTTTTAATTGCCTTTTAAATTATTCATCTGATGCCATTATATGCATTGAATTACTACTGTTTCAGAGATTTCCCATACTAAAACAAAGCATTGAGGTTGAACAAGGTCTAGAGGTCAGAGGATAGAAGGATACAACATGGCCTCTAGCAATCTTGTAGTCCCTGTTGGTATGTAACATTTTATCTTTTAATTGTTTTATCATCAATGCTTGAAAGAGGCAAATTACTTCAAGATTTGTTGACAATTTTAAAGCTGTAATGTAAAAAGATTTATTTCACCAATAAAAAGTCTTTCTCTTAGTTGCCTGAAATATAGGAGGCTGGACAACAAATGACTTTACAAAAGCATTTCTAACTTTAGATAATAAATGTTTTGTAAAAGATTTGATGAAAGATTGCATTTTATGAACCCCGATTTGAAAACATTTTTTTAATATTCTGTATTTGTTTAGTGATGTGGGGTCGTGATGCACCCTCTCATTGTATCAGTTCTGTTTACTTGATGAGAGATCAGAGAACATTAGTCACTGGATCACAGGTAGTGTTGTTAATCGTTTTGGATCGTTTTTAGAAAAAAATCAATCAAATCTTTATCCAAAAAAAAATAAAATTGGAAAAATTATCCAAAAACATTCGTCAAAACACGTTCGTTTTGCATTTTTTTTGGATCGTTTTTTGCATACATCTTCAAAGTTTGACTTGCTTATAAAACGACAAATGCTTACAAGAAAAAAAAATTGGAAAACCTTCTGCTACTTTTACATTATGCCACATTTTGACCCGGATAGAAAATTTAGAAAAAATTGACCGAAAACGATCCAATTTAAATCACATCCCTAATCATAGATACAAACTATTATGTTAATCTAATTACTGTTATTTAATAAAAAGTATTTTTTTAAGCAGTTTATATTTATACGAAAGTTAATTCAAACGTAATGTGAAAGGGGCTGCTTGGAGTTTTGTTAATCAAATTATTATTTTATAAAAACAGTCATTTATTTCCCCAGACAATTGTGTAATGTTGAGTATCTTTGATATTTGATCAGGATTGTTCCCTATCCATAATATTGCGAGTTTTTTAATTTATATTTTTATTAACGACTAGGTGTTTGGTTTGTTTTTTAACTTTTCACAACTTCCAACATTTCAAAAATTGTCTCTGTTAAAGTTTGCTTTCATTAAATATTTTTTATACTAAAAGAGAGAAAATTGAAAAAGAATCAAAATCTATTGCTTTAACGCGTGTGTTTTTGCTTCGTTTCTGGTTCGTTTTGTTCAAATATTTTCTCCCATAGTCAAAATTTGGCATAATGTACGAAAAGAAAAGGTTTAGAATAAGTAATTTCAAAATTTCAAACTTCTCACTTCTTATTCTTATTTTTGTGAATCTTTTAAAGTCCTAAACCCTCAAAAACCACCCAACTTATTGCATATCACTACTTAGGCCCCAAAGGACCGAATTTAATGAATTTGAACTACGTCGCTCAACTAAAAACTGTCGGTTCAAATTTGAACCACCGATTCAAAGTTAAAGATTTTGGAAGGATTTGAATTGGTGATTGAAGTTTAAACAGACTGCTGGATCCTGCAGTTCAAATTCACTAAATTGGATCCCAAGAAAACTAAACCAATCAATAATTGTTTAATCTTGATTGTTTTAAAATATTGCAGGATGGACAGATAATAATCTGGGCTCTTGACAACACGGATACATGGAAGCTGAATCCACGTCATATGCTGATCGGACACACGTCATTAGTCAGGTAACCAGGGGTAAATATTTTCTTGGAAAATTTCCACCCATTACATCTTAAAGGGACTGAACTGAAAGTTTAATTTCAAATGACAGTTCCTTTAAAAAAGAATCATACGATAATTACAACAGTACCCTTGAAATCTTGATCTGATGAATAATGTGGGAAATATGTCAGTTTTTTAGCTGAAAAAATCTAATTCAATCAATGTTTTCCTGCAGTAAAAATACGTAAGTACTTACGTAGAGAAACCACAATTGAAAATAAACACGGATTTCTAATTCATACTTTTACAACGCTTTTAAGAGTACCCTTGTGTAACGAACATGCCATCCTGTAACTTGAAATTACATTCACGGCCCCTTCAGAGTATTTTTATCCAATATTTATTGAGTTTTTTTGCGAAGTGGCAAAATATTTTTTATGTTTTTATCTTTTATTTAAAAATTTTAGACAGTATACAAAGAAGTTAACTTCTGACTCCGTATGTTGTGAACCAAATGACCTTTTTCAAATGGCAGAATTTCAAAATTAACTTTAAAAAAGCTTCGACAGAATAAAAATAAAATTATAATATTTGAAAAAGAAACAGTAAAATAAAATAAAAAAGATTTCAAATGAGAATTAAAACGTTTTGAAAGTAGATAAATATTGGGAATTTGGAAACAACAGAAAAAAAGATTTAAATAATTATTAAAGAAATTGGAAAGTAATCATTATTATTGGACTTCACTGGGGTACAAACTAAATTAAATTTAGTTAAGCTACATAGTACATAATCTGAACTAACTATGTAAGTTTGGAAAGTTTGGTTGCAACGCTGAAACTTAAATATGAATTGTTTAGGTGTATAGCTAAAGCGTCTCCAGGCACAGATTGTCACCATATCGTTTCCTCCTCCGACAACGGGGAGATGTCCCTCTGGGACACCGTGGACGGGCAGTGCATAGACAGCAAGAAGTTAAACTTTATTCACACAAATATACAGGCTTACAGGTACTAGGAAATACAATGTGCATTACAAAAATATAAAGGTTTACATGCGATTTGACTTGATTTTTATAATGATTTTGATTTTGATTTTGATTTTGATTTTGATTTTGATTTTGATTTTGATTTTGATTTTGATTTTGATTTTAAATTTTGATTTTGATTTTGATTTTTGATTTTGATTTGAAGGGTTCCAGACTCAAGTGTGGTTAAACTATTCTGCTGTGGGTTCTATGAAGAGGTTCTGGTCATGGATCCATACTCTCTTACAGTCACATTTACACTTAACTCAAGGTAAGACCAAATATGATTGGTTCAGTTCAAAGTTTATAACTTAAAAGACGACATTTAACAGAATTTATGTTGACCAAGCTTTTTATAAATTTTAGCCAACCTTAGAGGTGGTTTCATTCTCCTGTCTGTGAACTTTTGATGTACACTGTACATGCATGTACTGCGGCCAAGGAACCGTCATTGTACTGCTAATGTACATGATTATTCTGAATAAACCCCGATTTGATTGCAGCCTTCCTTGTACTGTGGCCAAGGCACCGTCATTGTACTGCTAATTTACATAATTGTTAAGAATAAACCCCGATTGGATTGCATCCTTCCATGTACTGCGGCCAAGGAACCGTCAGGATGATGTTGTTCTTGCATTAACTACATCTGGTACCGTCAAGGTAAAACAATACACTAACAAATGCTAAAAATAAATCGTCCATCAATCAATTAATCAATTATGGAAATTAATTTATTTAGAAAAAAAAAAAATATCAGAGAAAAGTATTTATTGCATGTATATTTCTGGTCCAAGATATGGTAGCTTTATAATTGATTGCTTCAATTTAAAACCTTCTTTTAAATCGAAAATATTTCAAATAATAATTTTTCTAAAAAAAAATCTTAGGTTTTTGATCATTAATCTAAATTCATGAAAATTATTTGTTAAAAAATTGAATTAGGTTTGGACGTTGAGCGGGGAGGAGGATAAATCCTCGAATAATATTCTAGAAAATGAAAGTAAACAAATCAGGTTGGTTCAGCTTTTATAAGAAAATGAAAAAAACTTCAGGGGTATTCCGGACCTCCAGTCTCCACCCCCCCCCCCTCTGATTAAAAAAAATGTTTACTGGATTTTTTGCCTAAAAGTTATTTAACCTTCGAAAAAAAAAAAATCCTTGTTTGTTGGTAATTTTTAGAAAACTAGAAAGGAATGTTTTTTTTTACAAAATGTACATCTTTGTAAATTTTGAATCAAAAGTTTAGTTAATTCATTCATATTTTCATATATTTATTCAACTGCAAAGCATGAGATATTACAATTAAGCAATCACAATTTACTATGCAGTTTGGACCAGCCTAACCAGGGTTGGTTGTTTTGTTAAGATGTGATTCAACGTAAAATATGGAAAAGATTTTTGAACTTCTGATTTTTATGTTTATTTTTTCTACTCGCTAATTTTAATTTCTTTGTGTAGATGTTTGAATGCCCTGTCAATGACCTGCTGTGTGTATAACATGAGAACGGTGTTGGTAGTGTGTGCGACCTACTGGAACGTGTACGATGCCGGGGACTTCACCTGTCTCCTCAGTGTACCCTGCAGGAGAGGAGAGAGGTTTGTCAACTTAATATTCTGTAATTCTTTAAAAAAAATCCACCAATTAATTGTTTTAAAACTGATAGAGATTTTTTTTATGGGAAAACTTTATTGAATTGCATTATTTTAAAATTTAAACTTCACATTTTAAAGGATGATTCATGGACATCAATTAAACTTACAAGTACGATAAAATTATGATTTTTCGATTGACGCTGTCAAGAATGGTTAGCAGTCCCATAAATCCTGATATTTTAGATGGATAGGAGGTGAATTTATAGCGGCTGATCGTATATGCTGCTGGTCAGATACCGGTCACGGCTACCTGTATAAACTCCCAACTAACTGTATTGTAGAGTCCAAAGATTTTCATAACAAAACTGTTGATGGTCAAGCGGGCAGGTAATAATAATATTTCATTTCATATTTTTATTTAACTACAAAGCACGAGATAATACAAATAATAAATCACAATTTACTATGTAGTTTGGACCCGCCTAACCAGAGTTGGTTGTTTTGATTAGTTGACCCATTATAAGCTAATAAGAATTGTAAATAAATAGATGGATGTACACTGTACAGTGTACATTATAAACAAAACAATTATGTACACTTTACAGTATACATTTTAAACAAAACAATGATGATAAATCATGAATAAGGTATGGAGGGGGTGAAAAAGTATAAAGGAAAGAGTGGGTAATCAGCGGGATGGTTGTAACAAACATACAATATTAGAATCATGTTTATGAAATACAGGGTGAAGAAGATAGCAAAGACAAAGTTTATCCACATGAAAAACAGTTATTTTTTTACAGATATAGCTTGCATAACTATCTAAATAGTTTTTGAAGATTTTTCTTTTAAACAGTTTTGCAGATTTAGTTTCCTTAAGCTCTAATATACAACTCAATGACAACTTGCTAAAACTAGAAAATAATATCAACTTTCTAGAATGCAGTTGGTTGATTTTATTCTAAAACTTCACTTCGGTACCCTTTTTAAATCTTTATCTGTTCATCATCAGAGGAGATATCGTCGTTTTTGCATCTTCAAAAGTGATGAATTTTGTTAATTACGTTCTTTGTCGCTGCTGTAATGTTTGCTTTGTCAAAGATTAAGGCATACCGAAGTGAATGAGTCATGCCTTTCTTTGAATAAAAGTATGCCTGCAGTTTCTTTAATTTACTAGCCAAATTATCGTCTTATGTTGAAACTGTTAGAACGGATAAAACTAAATTTAATGATTTAGACCTCGACTGTTCTGTGTGCTCAAACCCGAGGTGGAAGAGAATTTATCTTGTCCTCCAGCATTCAAATATATGATCTTCAACAAGGAAGGCAGATGGTGGAAATATCTGCTTAGGGGAGACAACAAGGGAGCTATCAGTGTCTGGAGGTAGGAGTTGGTAGGGTGTGGTTGGGTGTTACAGGTTGGTTTGCTGGTTGGTTGGATGATTTAATGGCTGGTTTAGCGGGTGGGTGGGTGGTTAGTTGTGTGTTTTTGGTTGGATATCTACTTAGGGGAGACAACAAGGGAGCTATCAGTGTCTGGAGGTAGGAGTTGGTAGGGTGTGGTAGGGTGTTACAGCTTGGTTGGCTGGTTGGTTGGGTGATTTAATGGCTGGTTTAGCGAGTGAGTGGGTGGTTGGTTGTGTGTTTTTGGTTGGATGGCTGGTTGGTTGGTTGGCCGGTTGGTTAGTTGGTTGGTTGGCCGGTTGGTAGGATAGATGGTTGGATATTTGCATTTTAGATAAAAATTGATAAAATAGTTGATGTTATGGTTGTAATGTTTAGAATACCGGATACGGCGGAGTGTGCTGCCCTGCAGCTCAAGGCGGAAAAGGATGGAACGGCGGATAGTTTATATCCTGTAGCAACTCATAGTGTTAAGGGACAAACACTTTTCTCTCAAACAAAAAAATTCTGAATGGCCGGATACTAGTGATTTTATTTTAATGTAACATAATTTGATTATTTTCCAAGTTACAGAATTTTTTTATGTGGAGGGGGGAGGGTGGAACATTAAAGAACAAAATAAAGAAAAAAAAACAGAAAGTTATAAAATACAAGTTTATTATTTATATTTGTGAAATCAAACTAAACGAGTGAAAAATTTCGTAGTTCGCTTAAAATCTGACCTGAACATTTTTTTCTTAATTTTCCCTTGCTAGACAAAAATTCGCTGAAGTCTTATTATTCTTAATTGTAAAAGGTTTGTTAATTGTAGAAATCCTGGAAGAGTATTATTCCACCTCCAGTGGGTATTCTAGATCAATTAGATCAAAATATGAACCAGCAACCCCCGGTTAGTATTAATTAGAATATTCTAGATCAATTAGATCAAAATATGAACCAGCAACCCCCGGTTAGTATTAATTAGAATATTCCAGATCAATTAGATCAAATTATGAACCAGCAACCCCCGGTTAGTATTAATTAGAATATTCTAGATCAGTAAGATCAAAATATGAACCAGCAATCCCCGGTTAGTATTCATTAGAATATTCTAGATCAGTAAGATCAAAATATGAACCAGCAATCCCCGGTTAGTATTCATTAGAATATTCTAGATCAGTAAGATCAAAATATGAACCAAAATCATGTACTTTCAAGTATTAAAACCACAGTAGGGGAGTATGCTACATTTTGATTTTCTGAGCAACTCTTTCCTTCAGACTCCTTTGAATTTTCTGCCAGTAACTGGCCATAGAGATTAGAAAATATTTTCATGGGTAAATATTTATATTTAAAGCAGACGCGTTTGATTATAAATTAAAGGCTGTTTTTGGGGAAAGGTAAACAAGCCTGAGCTTTAAATTCTTTCTTGAAATTATAAACATATATTGATGATGGATAAAGACGACATTTAAACTATTTTCTAGGATTTGAGTGGAGATGATGATGAGAACTCTCCTGCACTAACCAGTCATATTTTCCTGCCAGTTCAATGCCGTCTAGTCTTAGGTAGGCATTTGATATCTGTTTCGCCAATTAGAAAGTTTAACTGTGTTATTCCGGGCTAATACGTAGGTTTTTTGTATGAGTGAAATGGTCACTACCAGTGGGCAGTCGAGGCTGAAGGGAAGAGGGGGGGGGGGGTAAGAGAAACGTTCACTTCTTTGAAAATTGGAGGGACGTTCTGGAAAAATATTTTGTTTTATTTTATTGATTTTAACTATAGATTCAAAAAATATTTATAAACTTAGGAATTAATTATTCTTTTAGGGTTTAAAGTGCCCTATTCTTTAATCCCCCTCATTATACTCACTGTGATTATTGATTATTTTATAGTGTTATATTTGTATTGAAAAATAAGAATGTTTTAGGGATGCAATCTTAAAGATTGGATTTCCACCAAAATGTTACGTTTATGTAATATACTTTAGAGGTCGGAGGACGGACTCTAATAAAACTCGGTTAGACTCATTCCAGTATATATTTATTGATATGACAAAACTTTTTATAACTCTATAAATCAATCTCACGAGGCTGAGTAGAATACCGCGTTCTCTTTCTGTTGTGGAACTCTGTTTTGGAGGTCGAAACATCGTCTTCCACAATACATTTTTTAAAATAACTAATGATTCCCGATTTTAGGTCGAGAGGATGGAAGTATTGTTTTGGTTCCAGCAACTCAGACCATCATGATGCATTTACTTCGAGGTATATTGAGGGGTGCAAAGCGTACAAATTATTTGTAATCTATTTATATAAAGTAGTAATCTTTGTTTGTCTGTTTGTTCGTTTGTCCAATTATAGCGCATGAACCTTTATTCGTTTTGCCTCTTATTTTTTATGGAACTCGTTAGAACCACGGGAATGTTATTATTTTGGTTTAAAATTCTAATTTTATTATGGAACTCGTTAGAACCACGGGAATTTTATTATCTTGGTTTAAAATTCTAAGTTTATTAGATTGACATTTACAGAGAAAGTTTAGTTTCCAGACAAAGCTGGGTTTCCAAGTTTGTATTCTAATATTTGTGTATTGAAGGCAAACATCATAAATACACCAGCTGGCCCCAACATCAGCTGCTCCTGGGGCACACAGGGCGGGTCAACTGCTTGCTCTATCCTAACAATGAGAACCCGAGATATGATGTTGCACATCTTATTTCCGGAGGTCAGTAAGTAAATCAACCTTTGCGACATTTGTGAATTTGTTTTTTTTTGCAAATATTTTTTTAATAATTTTTTTTTGTCCATAATCAGCCTTTGCGACATTTGTGAATTTGTTTTTTTTGCAAATATTTTTAAAATTTTTTTTGTCTCCATGATCAACCTTTGCGACATTTGTGAATTTTTTTTTTTTTTAAATATTTTTGAAATTTTTTTTTTGTCTCCATAATCAACCTTTGCAAAATTTGTGAATTTGTTTTTTTTTAAATATTTTTTTAAAACTTTTTTTCCATTTTCCTTTATTAAAAAATTAATGGGGCAATTTGAAGATATTGAAGCACAGAATTCATTAACTCTGCCCACTTGAACGAAAAGCAGTATTTTTTTTGTAAAGTCACAATATATTATCTATTTTGTGACATTTTAGGAATTGATTTCTCTGTTTGTCTCTGGGATATTTACACTGGTTCCTTGATACATAGATTCTCCAGTCATGGGGGAGAGGTAAGGAAAAAAACTATTTTCAATCAAAAATTAAAAAGATTCTATTTTCTGGGCAAACCCACAGGGTTTAGAACGTTGATTGATTGACTGTTTAATTGATTTATAAAAGGATTGCTGTATATTCCTACTCACGGAGTGATCCTAAGGGTTGGTTACTGATGATTATGTTATCTGTTGACTGATTGGTTGATTAATCAATTGACTGATTGTTTGAAAAATGATCAGGTTCAACGTCTGTAGTTTTCCCCCTCCGGAGAATCCAAAGGGTTGGATAACATTGATTAACTGATTGATTGATTGGGTAATTGATTGGTTGATTTTGTTATCAGGTTTTACGCCTATATGTTCCCCCACCTGGAGTATCTCACAGAGTTGGTTACTGTGTCTGTGGGGTAGCTAGTGATCATTCAGTGACATTACTCTCATTAAAGGTTAGATTTTAGGAATATTTTAACTCTCTATTTAAGAGCTTTATTAGTCATATTTTAAACCTTCTTTAACCTGGTCAAGCAGTTGAAATTATTTCTTACATTTAATATCTTAATTATAGATATAATTCCGTTTAAAGGAACTGTAAGCTTAATGTAACTCTCCATGCAATATGCCTGATTCACAACGGTACCATATTATAACCTTTGACTGATCAAAGTTGTTGATCTTATTCTCACTTATCCTTAAACGTTCTTAATTGTGAAACACTTTGTTTGCTTGGTGTTTTCAGTTTTAAAATATTAATATTCACTTACTTTGAAGTGGCAGAAAATAAATATTTACTTTTGAATTTTTGTGAACCGCTTTTAACGTAAAATATTCGGTAATGTCAGGGTTGGTTTTTAATTTGAATACACACTACACAGCTCTCTTTACTCGATAAAAAGTCATAGTTTTTAAATGTAACGTTGATAATCGGGCTTTGCCCTCTTTACATGTAGGTCACTTAAAATTACGCTTACAGTTCCTTTACTAGGAGAGACGTTGTATACTACTTGCATCACGTCAACTGTTCCCTGTAACGAGTATAAAATGGAAACCATTGGATGATTTTATGCTTGTCTGCTGCTCAGACGGATCTATTTATATTTGGCAGATGGAAACCGGACACCTAGACAGGAACATAAATCTGAATAATAAACCAGAGCATAACTCTGTAGCAAAATGTGTCCAATCGGATAACAGATTAGATGGCTCATTCTTACCCCTCATCTTTATCGTCTTCTTCCGTTTTGGACAATTTTTGAAATACCACTTGCAACGCCGAGCACTACAATTTTATGAAAAAGATAATGAGTGGGGACCTACAATTTAAGGGGGATTGATTGAAATAAAGATTTACTTACATAACACGTAATACAAGTTTTATGATGCTTTCAAGTCTTTCAGTAGATTAATCAATTTATAAATTCGAAACAAGAACTAACATGACTAGAAATAAACGGGATTATCAAAATATAAAACCAATCATGGAGTTTTGTGCATCTTTAAAGATTTGATTTGTGGTTTAGAGTTGTATCTGGAATGGCTGCTCAGGATATTCTTGAAGCTTGTGACGAAGGATCAGGAGGAGGTGCTGGAGGAGGAGGGGCGGGGGGAGGAGAGGCTAACCTCGCCAACCCAGCTCTAGGACTCCTCCGAGGTATCCGACATCGGAACCTGGCGGCAATAAAAATGGCGACTCAGCGGGGGATAAACAAACTGCAAGGACCAGGAGACAAGGAATACCAGTACCAGGAGAAAGTGAGAGCCTTCCCCCTGGTAGTGGACGGGTTCAGGACCAACCAGGCGGACCCCGAGGGGCACATTCTCTTCTTTGATGTCGAGGCACTCATTGTACAGCTTCTAACAGAAGAATACACGGTTATGTCTCCAGGTACTAAATTATAAGTATAAATTCCTTATCCAAACAAAATCAAATCAAATTTATACATATATTGAGATTATAACTAAAAAGTGTTCTTTAATAATATGAACGGAACTTAAGCTCTCCTCTAATAACGTTATCAAAATATGTCCAAAATTTACAAGTAACGGTCGCAAATACTTTTTTAGGTCAATTTTTATCCCAAGGAATTATATCAAGTTATTAATGTTAAAAATATCGAACTTTTAAACTGATTGATCTTTTTTAAATCGATTTTAAAAACCTGAACTTATTTTGAATAAGATTAGAAGGTCTAAAAGATGAGCGAATGAGTTGAACTCAAATTATTTATTTTTTGAATTTGTTAAAGAAGAAAACTTTTTAGGAACAATGGAAGTTCAAGGATTAACGAACCAGGCTGAATATGAACGTATCCGAGCCCTCACTAAAGTTAATAGTCCAGATGCGGCCAAAAAGATTGCAGGATTTTTAAACAAGGTACAGATTAACTTTAGTTTATTCTTAAATTGCAGATTTTTTATTCTTTAAATAATTATTATTTTTATTGTAAGATCTCGTGTTTTACACATGTTATTGTAGATAATTTGTATTTTTTTTTTAATTTGCTTGGTTTGGGTTTTTATTGCAGCGGTGTATAAAATCAAAGACCCATAAGAGGGGAAGAAAAGGAAAAAGGGAAGGGCAAGGAAAATGGAGAAGGAAAAGGGAGAAGGAAAAGGGAGAAGGAAAAGGGAAAAGAAAAGAGGAAAGAAAAGGGGGAAAAGGGAGGTGGAAAATAGGAGAAAAAGGTAAAGGAAAAGGGGAAGGGTAACAGCGGAAGAAAGGGAAGGATGGTGTAGGGAAAAGGTAGGGAGGGGGAAGAAGGGAAGTGGACAGGTAGGGAAGGGGATAGGTAGGGAAGGAGATAAGTAGGGAGGGGGAAGAAGGGAAGTGGAGAGGTAGGGAAGTGGAGAGGTAGAGGTAGGGAAGTGGAAAGGTAGGGAAGGGGATAGGTAGGGAAGGAGATAGGTAGGGAAGGAGATAGGTAGGGAAGGAGATAGGTAGGGAAAGAGATATTTGATTTGATTTGATTACATATATATATTAAAAAATTATGTCTTTTAAGTTATCGAATTTGGGGAAGGAAATCAAAAAAATTGAGGGGGGAAAGAAAAATAAATTAAACTATATACGAGGGTCCTCGTGCAATTTATTGTTTTTGTTTCGTTTTATTTTTAAATTCTCATTTTATTTGGTTTTGTATTTGTTTTGTTTTGAGTTTGTTTTTGATTATTTTTTTTGGGGTTTTTTTGATTATTTTTTTTCTGTTTTTTTTGTTGTTTTTTTTGTTTGGTTTTGGTATTTGTTTTGTTTTGCTTTGCTTTTTTTCGATTAATTTTGTTTTTGTTCTGATTTTTTTTTTTTTTTTTTTTTTTTTGTCATTTTGTTAATGTTACAGGTAAAAGATACTGCAGATTCTCGATTGCAAGCTGGTATAACTGCAAGTCCAGAAACTCAGAAGAAACTGACAGGAATTATGTCTAAGGTAGCAATAAATAAAAATACAAACATAACATCATGTTTCCTTTTATTAAATCAATTATTTCAAGAAAACCATTTCCTGAATTACATATTTATAAACATTGACCTAAAATGTAATTATAATTTTGTCAATTATTTATCTTTAGAAGCATTATTCACGTAACAGCCATGTTTTAAATAAATTGAAATTTCAATGCTTTCAAAATTAAAAAAAAAAATAATTAAAAATGTTTTGATCAATTGTAGTCACTTTTAATATTTACGATCAATACATTATATCCCTTTCTTTTAATAAAGTTTGACTGAACATTGTATAGGTGAAAGAGGGTGCTGAGAAGGCCAAAGAAGAGTTGGAGAAAGCAAAACGAGAGTTTGAGGACAGGATGCATGAAGATATGAGCGACAAAGGTAAAGTGCTTACTGCGCTCTAGCGAATTTTCAGGAGAAAAAAGTTCCAACCCATGATTCTTCCCAGAGAACGGGTTACTCCCTAGTCTATATCTCTAACTACATATTAATACTCCCTCTATTCTCTAGGATCTATTGTTGAGGAGAACGGATTAAGCCCTGTTTCTCTAAATATTAATACTCCCTCTATTCTCTAGGATCTATTGCTGAGGAGAACGGATTAAGCCCTGTCTCTCTTAATATTAATACTACCTCTATTCTCTAGGATCTATTGCTGAGGAGAACGGATTAAGCCCTGTCTTTCTAAATATTAATACTACCTCTATTCTTTAGGATCTATTGCTGAGGAGATCGGATTAAGCCCTGTCTCTCTAAATATTAATACTCCCTCTATTCTCTAGGATCTATTGCTGAGGAGAACGGATTATGCCCTGTCTCTCTAAATATTATACTACCTCTAGTCTCTAGGATCTAATGCTGAAGAGAAGTGATTACAACATATCTATTAATATTATGACTTCCTCTATTTTCATAGATCTAAAACCGAGGAGAACGTATTTCTCTATATCTCTCTCTAAATATTATAACTCCCTCTATTCTCTAGGATCTATTACTGAGGAGAACGGATTACGACCTAGTTCTCTCCAGCTAGAGATAAACCTGACCCTGGAGATAGGTCAGCTCCTCCTCTCCCTCCTTCATGCCTGGGGTCTAGACAAGGACCTGGATAAGGTTGCGCTCACTAAACTGGGACTGCTGAAACCAAGGTAAACTTTCTCATTTTTACTTAAAAAATTAATTAAAAATATTTTTACAAAATCTAAGTTTTCAGCTCTCAGATTCGTTTCAAGTTCCTATTTTAATTGTTAGTTTTGTAATAAATTAAACAATTGGAAATGTTAGGCCAAGCATTCAATTCTCTGGGTTCGTTTCAGTAACGTGTTCAACATACTTTAACACTAGCATAACTTCGCAATTTAGAGTCTAGCTACAGATATCTTACTTTAATATATGTTTTATGTCTATTTATGTCATTGTAATGGGTATTATTGAGTGCGAAAAAGTTTTTGCCGGGATTTTTTTTTTGATCTAAAACAAACTAGAAAAATTGAAAATTGCAGCAAAAACTCTTTCGCACGCATGATACCAGTTTCAATAAAATATATAGTTTTGTTCAGTTTTACTTAAATTATTTAAAAGCAGGTCGTTAAAGTTACTTAATCACACTGTTGTAGGGTGATTAAGTAACTTTATCACCCTACAATGAGACAAATTAGGTATGAAATTTGAAATTTTAATAGCAGGGTGAAAAAGTTACTACAACGGGAAATATTAGGTGTGATAAATCCCACAAAATTGAATAAAGTTTTCTTTTTTTTATTCATCTTTTTTCTTTCATTAATACCTTCTGTCTTACATACATTTTGTAGCAGTTGGCAAATCAAGCAATCTTTGTTTGAAAAGGAAAAAGATTTAAGAAACATTTTTTTAAAAAGTTTTATCTCTTTGTTAATGATGTTTTGTCAGATTTCCAGTAAGTTTTGGTCTTGTATCTGGAGCAGGAGGGATGTCTCTAGTTCTTCCAACTTGGAATCCAAGACGGGACAATCCAAACCTACCTACACTAGTCGAGTACTTTACAGGTAGTACCTACACTAGTCAAGTACATTACAGGTAGGGCCTACACTAGTCGAGTACTTTACAGGTAGTACCTATACCAGTCAAGTACATTACAGGTAGGACCTACACTAATCGAGTACTTTACAGGTAGTACCTACACTAGTCGATTACTTTACAGGTAGTACCTACACAAGTCGAGTACTTTACAGGTAGTAACTACACTAGTCGAGTACTATTTAGGTAGTATTTACATTAGTCTAGTACTTTAGATATGACACGAAATATGTTTTTTGGAATGTCCCATTTTAAGGGAAGTCTTTAAAGTTTAATTTTAATGATTCATTTATAGTTTTCACAGATATTAATTGAGTCTTTGTCACAAACTTAAATTTTCGAATCCTTTTATCTTTGCAGCCTGATGGTGTACAGTGTACACCTTTGATATTTTAAACTAAGATTATTTGATCGATCAGAATTCCAAGTTTGAATATCTAAGGTCTACGACTTTGGACTGCATAGAGCCTAGAAAATCCGAGCTTATGTAAAGACTCAATTCCTTTGTTTCCTTACAGTTAAAACGGCGAAAAAGTAAAAGATTACTCTTTTTCAACCTGCTAAATATTTGCACACATGACCTGTGTTTTGAAGAATCTAATTAATATGGAGAAACCGTATGCTAACTTGATACTTATTTCAGCTGTTGGACATTGGGAGCTTTCTCACACAATAACAACTCATCATTTACTCTCTTTAATCTCTGTAACCAACACCCTGACATCAGTCTCAAATGCAAGCTTTGTCCCGGAGCAAGAACGGAAACGGAAGCTGGTTCGACAGGCCACACATGGAGCAATGGATGTAGGGAACCTAGATATTTCATTCTCAAAGTAAGTCATGACATTTTTTATGTTAGTTTTTAAAAGTAATTTCTTTTTTTAATACGAGGGAGGCAGAAAAGTTGTTTTTTGTTTGTTGATGGAAAATGTGATAAATCAATTTATTTTTATTTGAACGACATTTAAATTTAGACAACAAGAGCATATAAAACAGGGCTGGAGCCTACTATCTACTCTACACTGTGTTCTTCTGCATGATAAGGTAGTTTCCTTAATAATAAACAACCTTTAAACTACCTGAAAGTTTTTTTTTTCGGTGGATGAGTTTCAATTTAAGAGTTTTATTACATAAGAATAAAGAATTCTTTTCGTGTTATGCCTGTTTTTAAAATTAGATTAAGAAATAATTGATCACTTCCTTTTTTATTTTTATGTGATTACGTAATGGGATCCTTATAAATGTTTCGATTTTTTCATTTTTAAGCTATCTTAGAGTACTGGAGATTAGCCTTACTAGGGGGGTGCACTTTTGGCCGAAATTTTTTAGTTCACCCCCTTACCGGTCGTTGTTCACACCCCTATAAACCGGTATTAAGAAGAAAAATATCAGTTTTAAACTCGATATAAGCTTTTTCAAAATGTAAGTTAATGGCCTTTTTTAATTTGTTTACTTTGTTTACACCGACTCGCCTTTTTACCGTCCTGCACCCTACCCTCTGCATTAAAAAAATAGAAAAATATTATCTGCTCCCAATAAACCCCTGCTCTCCCCTCTTCCCAACCCTGTGCAATTTACTTAATAAAATAATACTCTGGGTCCATCTTTAACTTTAAAATGGATTTTTAATGAAACCCCCAGAAAAATTTGTAAATAAGATTAAGGTATGAATAAAAAAAATTTGTGAAATTATCATAAAATTGAAAAATTGGCAATTGATTAGATAATATTATGAATGCAAGTTAAATATATTGGGACTAGGGGGCATGTTTAAAAGGTATACACAGGGTTCCAGACCCCCAGTACACCCCTGGTGTAGGACTAGGGGGAGCCTAAAGGGGGTCTTTCTAGGGGGACCTGGGGTTCTTTCTGCCCCCCATCTAGGTCTCAAGTTCTCAAGCAAAAATCGATGAGAATTTTGCAAATTACTTTTTAAAGAGCCAAAGATAGCAACCAAGTGCTTTATGAAATAAATGACCCTGCATCTGACATAAAACCCTGATCGTGATTGCGTATCCTTATCATGCTAGGGAGCTGCCGTACAAGCTTATTAGTTTGTTTTGATTTGATTTGATTTGATCAGGTTTGGTTTGGTTTGGTTTTATTTAATTTGGTTCGGTTTGATTTGATGGGTTTTTGTTTGATTTAATTTGGTTTGGTTGAATTTTATTCGATTTGGTTTGGTTTGATTTGATTTGATTTGATTTGATTTGATTTGATTTGATTTAATCAGGTTTGGTTTAGTATGGTTTGGTTTTATTTGATGGGTTTTGGTTTGATTTAATTTGGTTTGGTTTGATTTTATTCGGTTTGGTTTGGTTTGGTTTGGTTTGGTTTGATTTGATTTGATTTGATTTGATTTGATTTGATTTGATTTGATTTGATTTGATTTGATTTGATTTGGTTTGATTTGATTTGATTTGATTTAATCAGGTTTGGTTTAGTATGGTTTGATTTGATTTGATTTGATTTGATTTGATTTGATTTGATTTGATTTGATTTGATTTGATTTGATTTGATTTGATTTGATTTGATTTGATTTGATTTGACTGTTGTGTGTTGCAGGTGAAACAATTAGGTTCTGCTCGTCATAAACGGATCCAAGTTGAGATTCTAGCAATTAAATGGCAGGATAGATGTTTACAGGTCAGTATCGGCCAAACAATCTTTAGTCAAAATGCGTTATTCAGACGGACCTTATTCTGGCAAGAATTGGACTTGTTACAACATGACATTATTCAGGTTCGCCTGGCTTCTCAGGAACTACTGGTTGCAGAATTGAAGAATATGGGACCAACTGGCAGAAAACATCTTGTAGAGGTTAACTTTACAACTATTTTACTTTTAATTAAAATTGGAAAGAAAAAATTATATTAAATAGTTTGTCAACTTACTTTTATAATGAAATGTTATCCAAGTATTCAATCTCCAGTATAGTTGTCCTGAAAACCTAAATTATGAAAAATTGTTATTTTTTTACAATCATGGAAAGTTGATAAATGTTGACAGCAATTTATTGAAATGCATCAGGAGGAGTAAAAATACTGTTAACAAAGAAACTGAATTTCTGACAAATATTCCGAGTTTTTTTTTAAAATATCATTTTGTATATTTCTTTAAAAGCTTGCACATTTATTTAGATTTGGAGCCCATACGTTCCAAAGTTTGGGGATCCTCCTTTCCAGACTTCTCATAATCTTATAAATGGAACTAACACTGGAGCATCTTCTCCCCCACCCGAACCCCAGCATATTGATGAGGAAGATGAAAGGTATTTCAAGAAAAGTCTTTTCATCTTTTAAAAATGTTCCCGCTCTTGATATTCTATAAGATGGGGGAAATTTGTTAATAAATTGTCGATTGCCGTACAGATTTAAAAAGGCTGAGAGCCTGAAGCCTTGTAAAAATTACTACTATAAAAAAGGGAGTGTTTCGAAATCTTTAAATGGTGTAAAGGATGAACCAAGTGACTTTAAGAAATTGTTTAAGTTATAAAAGAACTGATTTATTCTCATAATCTAATTCATCCTTTCCCTCCTTTTAAATTTCATTAATACTCCCTTTAAATAATTTAATGTTTGCAAAAACCTGAATGCTGTACACTGCACATAACAAAATGCACTGCATGATTCAAGTATGTACCAGTACCTCAAGTATAAAGTAACCTTATGTATTTTAATGATAATTTACCCTGTTAAAAAAATATGTTGTACGGAATTTATGCTGGTAAGATTAAAATCAATTAGAATTAGATTTGGTTAATAATCAGTTAAAAATGACAAAAAAAAACCGATTGGAAGTTTTGCCAATTCGTCTAAGCGAAAAATTTTCATTTTTCTTTTTCCCAGTGGATCTATTTCCAAAGAGCCAAATTCCGTTTCTCAAAACTAGGGGTTAAGATAATTCAAATTTCGAGAAAATTAAGAATTTAAATTGCTGAAAATCTGTTTATTTTCCTATTAATTGGGTTTGGATTAATCCTGTTTGATTTTAGAGCGAGTTCTGCCCGAGACTTTCGGTAAACTTTCTTGATACAGTCCATTTTTCATTCATACTGTTGTCAGTGTTTTTATATTATCTTCATCATCAAAACATTTTTCCATTATGAGTGGCTTAAACTAAAATGGAAAAATGTATTGTCTATCGCTTTTTATTTTAGTTTGCTCTTTTATACAATCTTTGACAATATATGATACATTTTTTCCTTTATTTAAGTGTTCTGTTACAGTACTTGATGAATTTTTCAGTTTCTCCATCTACGCTTTAATGAGAAAAAAGTGACAAAATTTTTGAGTGAAAAGAATGGACATGTCTGTAGTTAATAGTAATGGAAGTGTTCATAGTTTTAAAAAGTTCTTGCATGCAATTATTTTAGTTCTTATTTAATTTTATAGTAAAGACTCTTGCTTAAAATCATAAATGTCGCATTTTAAAGTTCCTAACTCTCCAAATTATAAAACTGGTTTGTCCTGTTTATCAAAAATATATTTTCTTTTCTTCGTGTAATTTTAATATTTGTTGTATCGTTATCTTGTTTCCTGAAGACAACATCATTTGTATTTTCCTAGTTTAGATAAACTGAAACAGATCTGAAGACTGCTGGTTAGTTCTAGGCACGTTTCATGTCCAATGCCGCAAATAATTCTTTATCTAAATAGGCCGGATGAAGACGACCCGAGTGCTGCTGCTGCCAAACGTAATCAAACCACAGCTGTTATTCTTTGTGGAGTTATTGGAGCTTTGTTTGATCTAGAATTGGAAAAGGTAGGGTGAAATTAGTAATAAGATAAGATAAAGTTTATTGCTAAAATAAATGTATCTGTATACAGATAGAGTTTACAATCACAAAATTGATGATTATATTAACAGTACAAGTATAAAGCAATTAGGTGGAAAATAGCTCTTGGCTGTTTTGATTATTTTTTCCACCTAATTTTAGTAATAATAACAAAATATTTCAATTAAATAGATTTAAGGAGAACGATTAGAGATCAGGGTGCAAATTTATCATATGCAAAATAGTTTATACACTAATTCGAATAACTAGAGTTTAAAGTAATTTTCTGACATGTACACAACAAATATCAAAGCATATTAAAACATATCTAATTAGTTTTACATGAATAGCAATTCGGTTTATAACACATTGTCCTATAATTTTCAAAAAGAGAATTTAGTAGTCTATTTTTAAATATACTTAGAGAGTTGCTTCTTTTTAAGTCAAGAGGCAGGTTATTCCACATCTTAAGAAGAGAGCTTGATGGTAAATACTGTAATGAGCTCATTTTGAGAATGTCAAGTTGATAGTTAAGAGATCTTTCAAAGTTTCCAAGCTTTTTAAAAATATTTTCAAAAGATGCAGGAAGAAGTTTATGTGTATATTTATACATAAATATAGCTTGGTTAAAGTCTACCAGATCATTAATCTTTAGAATCTTATACTTAAGGAAAAGAGGATCACTATGAGACGTGGCTTTTGAGTTATCAATTAATCGTATTGCTCGTTTCTGTAAAATGTGAATTTGTTTCATTTCTGAACATTTGTTACATCCCCAGGCTGAAATTCCATATTCAATAAATGATCGAAATAAAGAGTTGTAAATGGTTAGTTTAATATTACTAGGAAGAATATTTTTTACACTTGACAAAGCAAAAACTGCACTGGATGCTTTGTTTTTAACCGCCTTAAGATGATGGTTCCAGTTAAGATTTTCGTCTAAATGAACACCTACAAACTTAAATGATTCATTTTTGCATCCAGTTCCTACTCTTTCTATATCTTTATTATCTATTTGAAGTTTAAGCGAGGTGATACTTACATCTTCTTTTTTATTTTTGAAGAGAATATGTTTGGTTTTAGACGCATTTAAAGTCAGTTTGTTTGCTTTAAACCAATCTTCTATAATAATAATAATAATAAATGTATTTCAAACTAGATTAATTATTACATATCATTTTATGGTCAATGTATATATATAAGTTGTCGAAAAATTAAAATCTGTTACAGTATTTATGTACATATATATAGTCTTTCTCTAGTTTGAGGACTAACAGAGTCTAGAGACTGTTTGAGTTAGCCCATTGATAACATATTTTTTGGGCTGATCCTTTCGTGAAGCGATGAGAGCAAGATAGTTGTGAAGAATGGTTAGCGATTCCTTTAGTGCAGGGGAACTACGGCAATAAAAATATTTATTAAATTACAGTATGAGTCTGAAGAAGCAGTCACAGAACAACAATTTACCCATTTTGGCAATCAGGACACATAGTTGTGCAACAAATTAACAACTTGTTAAGTTTTATGATTTTTTTATGGAAAAAAATATTTGAATTTTTAAGGATGAGAAGAAAGAAGGTGGAATACCTGCCCTTGATACTGTGATGACCCGGCTGACCGCAAAGGCTCTGATGTACCTGGTCCTCTCCCCAGCCTCGGAGCAGCTTCCAGCTCATACACCACTCAGGAGAGCAGCGCTTGATCTCATAGGTTGGAAGTTAGAATTTTAATTTCATGTCATTAGATTTTTTGAGATATATGAATCCTTATATGGTACTTGATACAATCAGTTCTGAAGATCTATTGAGCATTTTTTGCAAACTCAACTTAAATTGCCAATTACATTTGAAACTAGCTAAAGTGCCCGTCGTTGCCCGTGGAATAAAAAAGTTGAATTTTTTAAAGCTTATGTTACCCCTGGGTTTGCTGAAAAAATGCCAGCCCGTTCGGTCAGCCTTTTGGCCGGATATAGCGAACTTATATAGGAATGTCAATTTCACAATTTGCTTTCTCCCTGGAAAGTTATTTATTTTCCCCAATCAAAAATTGGTCAAGACATAAAAGAAATATTTCAGTAAAATTCACACTTGTCTCGCTCTTTCAAATCAGTGATAAATTAATTTGTTATTAAAAAACATTTAATCAATTCCTTGATTGTAGGACGAGGATTTGTTCTGTGGGAACCCCATCTTGAAGTATCGAAGGTACTCCTAGGACTCCTAGATATGGCAAGTGAAGCTGATAAATGGGTTCCAAGTCAGAAGTATGCTCTTCCTCTCACACCCGGTAAATAAACGTTGTTTGACTAAACAAATCTTAATTTTTATTAAATAAAATATAAAATCATAATTTACAGGGATTGCTTGCTCGGCATCCTTCCTATGGGTCTGAGTTTTAAGTCTTTCCCAAATTCTTGTTTTTTTCTACCCAATCTTAAGAAATCTAGAAATATTTTTAAATAATAGATAATATTTCTAGATTTCTTAAGTTAAAAGTTTAAAAAATTGTAAAATTAATGTTGCTCTGATTATGAAATTCATAAAATAATATTAAACATTTACCTCATACTAGTACAAATAATTTTTAAATCCTACATTTTATTCAGTTGCTGACTGTTGTCGAACAGCGCGGCACGCGCTCTCTAGTATTGCCAAAGCCAGGGCAGGAGTCTTCATTACCAGTATTGCCAAAGAGATTGCGAGGTCAGTTTGTATCATTGTCTTATTTTTCAGAAGACAACATTTTATCAACTTAATTTCATCATTAAGTAAAAACATTTCTGCAAGTTAACTAACTTATGCATGTCAACCTAACTCTGCCAATGAGGTTAATAAAATAAAATATAAACGAAAATTGACGAGGTTCAATTTTGAAATTAAAAATTAACCTAATGAAGTTTAAATTTTTAAACAACAAATAAAAATTTACAAAGATCAATTTTTAAATTTTAAAGTAATATTATAACTAAACTAGTAAAGTTTAAATATTTTTTAATGAGGTTTTTCTTAAAAATGCTATAACCTTTATTTTTGGGGGATTTATTTATTTTCTTCTTGACCAAACAATTTAATTTTTGTTGTCATATTTTTTTTATTTATTTACTTCTAGTCCGATTGTTAACTGTAATACCTGAATCAAAATTGAATCTTAATGTAGGTACAACACCTTGGCCTCGAACCAGCAGACCCTAAACGTGAACCTAAACCACCACGTTCTATCAAGAAGTAAGGCTGAGGTCCTCCATGTCCTCGAGACTCTCATCAACCTCGACACAACCATTTCGGAAATAAAGGTAACACTCACAATAAACTCAAATTAGAGAGATAACCCCAGGCCGCCATGAGCCTCCGCAGTACAGCATCAGAGCCTCCCAGATTTGACAGGCAGAACCAGCCTGCGCAATACATCAAAATCAGTCTGCGTCATACTTCGTATCACAACGGTTCTCGTAAACCTTTAAAAATGTTAAATTGTCGTTTTTCTAGTTCTGAAAAATGTTCAACACTGCTATTCCTTTATTGGTTTTGAAGCAGAAATTGAAAATTATAATTGGGTTTTTAATCAAAACTGGAAAATGAACGAGGTGGCTAATTTACATCAGCTATTCCACATAAACTTGACCTAAAATTTGACTAATAATGATTTCTTTAGGATCTGTTAACTGATGTGATAGATATAATTCTACACTGTGTTGATCATAATCATTTAAAACAAAAACCTCTTCAAGAGGTCTTTCCTCCAGTACAAACCTTCCACCAGGTAATAAATTAATTAATCAATCAATCAATCAATCAATAATGAATTTTCATTCATTACATCAAACATTACCCATTAAAATAATTAATCATTGGAACTAAAATCAACCAAATAATCATGTAATTAGTTAATCACATTTTATAATTTTATTTAATTGGATTAAATCTACCCATTGATCATCAAATCTACCAAATTAATTAAATAAAAATTAAGTTATCAATTTAAAAATAAATCAATTAAATCATTTGATTACACAACTAGACTATCATTTATCATTAACATGTTCTTAACAAGCCAAAACATCAGCTTAAAACTAATTCTTGATTTTTTCTTATTTAAACAAAAACTTTATAAATAAGTTATCCAAGTTACTAAAGCTGTGTATTCAGGTATCCCATTGCCTAGCTACTAGAAGAATAGCAGTAGGAACTAAGTCTGGTTCTATGGTTATGTATGAACTGAGAGCAAGCAAAGTTCAAACTATCCCCGCTCACCAGGAATACATCAGACTTTATAATCCCACCATTAAGTTGGATAATAAACATATTTTTCTTGACATTTCTACACGTATAGGAACTTATATTTGCCGCATACTCCTAATTTTCTAATTCCTTTATCTTTGCAACCTGATTGAATTTCCATTTGTCATCTATTTAGCAGAGTTTATAGTTAGAAATGTTAAAGGTTCACACCGTCAGGTTGCAAATATATAATAATTGAAAATTTAGAGTAAGAGGCAAGTTAGTTGAAAATATAGGATTTAACAGCCAAAATAGTTCAAAATTTATTGTAGCATGCAGGTTTTTACTCGGATATTATTGATAGTGCACGTTGTTGCATTTATTATCTAAAGTCAAAACTTTATTGTTGCAAATCTCGGTATCAAGTCTTGGCAGACCTACGTATCAATTTAATTCATTTTCGATACACCATGGTGACCAACCCCTGCACTGCAGATATAAATTTCATGGATCAAGTCTTGGTCCTCGAATTTAAAAGTGCTCATATTGTATATCCGAGATCAAACCTTCAAGATAAACAAAACACAATGTCCTGACCTATGAACACAGAATATTTTTTTAATTCTAATGGAAGATTGATGTATCTCCATTCTCCAGGCTGCTATTACAGCTCTCTCCTTTAATACTGATGGAAAGAATCTCGTCACCTATTCAGCACCAGAGAATAAACTTTCATTCTGGCAGACGAGGTAAAACTTCATCACTGCATCTCCCCCCCCCCCCAAAAAAAAAAGAATATATTTAATGAACATTTAAACTCATTTGAAACAACCCTCTGCTGTGATGTGTAATAATTTAGTTTCCTATTTCAAAATGATGAAATAAAACCTCATGCATGAAAAAGTCTATTTAAAACCAAGAAACAGTAAAGCTTTTTATCACAACTTTTCTATTATATTAAGGATTATATAACCACAAAATTGAGCATGTATTACAGATTACATAAAACCATAAATTTGTGCAATGGTTTTTTTTCTTCTTTTGTATCAATGTTTCACTAAGAATTTTGTAATTTGTCTATGATCTATTTCTAAATTTTCCATTAACAGTTACAAATAGTAAAAACGCCTAGGGACAGTTCGTAATTTCAAGAAAGTACCACGGGAACAAATTCTTTTGTATAATACTAGTACTATTAATTGTTCATCTTTAATGATAAGTACTTTAACTAGTTTATTTAGTATTGGTATGTTTGGGTTGGGTCAAGAAAAGTACTTTAACTTATTTAGTACTGGTATGTTTGGGTTGGGTCAAGATAAGTACTTTAACTAGTTTATTTAGTACTGGTATGTTTGGGTTGGGTCAAGATAAGTACTTTACCTAGTTTTATTTAGTACTGGTATGTTTGGGTTGGGTCAAGATAAGCACTTTAACTAGTTTTATTTAGTACTGGTATGTTTGGGTTGGGTCAGGATAAGTACTTAAACTAGTTTTATTTAGTACTGGTATGTTTGGGTTGGGTCAAGATAAGCACTCTAACTAGTTTTATTTAGTACTGGTATGTTTGGGTTGGGTCAGGATAAGTACTTTAACTAGTTTATTTAGTACTGGTATGTTTGGGTTGGGTCAAGCGGTTACTAGGTGCACTAAGAGTTATAATACTACTCCTGTTCCCCTTGTGGTTAAATGGAATCCTCTCAGGACCCCTAGACTAGTCTGGGTTTCTAATAAGTAAGTTATTATTTTAGATTTTACAACTAAATATGTAATAAAAAACATTCAATCAATTTTAAAAGTTGAACGTTTTAGCGTTCCAAATTGAAAAGAAACAAAATTTCCTTGTAAAATTAAAATTATCAATAAAACAAAACATTTTATAAATAAATTAAACTTAAATCACAACACTAATATTTGAAAATATTTAGTTCAAACATGTAACCCACTTAAAAACAGAACATTTTAGCGTTCCAAACTCAAGAGAAAAATCCTGTAAAATCAATCTTACTAATACTTAATTATTTATAAAACTAAACATTGTTTTAATAAATTGAACTTAAATCTCATCATAAATACAAGGGAAATTAGTTCCAAAACTAACACTTGTCCCATTTCTAACACTGTGTTAGAAATAGGCCAAGTCTGCAAAGTTATCTTTTCCAAGCGTGTATATCTTTAAATCCAAGCCGAGTTAAACAAAACTACACCATATATTTATAAAAAAATTGCTAAAACTATATATTGATACCAGAAATATCAACTTTACACTAATAATAAGTTGTGAGAATTGGTTTTTGATGATACTTGATTTCATTTTCGAACATATCCCTATTTTGAAACATATTACTGGAATTCATATCAATGCCAATTTTCAAGCATTTAAGCACTTACTTAACAACATAAGATAATTTTGACTTTCAGTGATTTATTTTGTAAGTTATGAAAGTGAGCTTTGTCCTGAATTGTATTCAAAAACGGGAACGTGGGTTTTGTCTCGAAAACGCGACAATGATTCAAATTAAGGAAATGCCCGAAAATGGAAAACCTAACATTGTCTTGAAAACGGTCAAGGGTTTTAATATAAAAATAACTCCTTTTATAATTTTGATTTTAGAAAATAGTTTTAAATTGGGAATTGCTGTCCTCTTCATGCTTAATAAAATGTTGGTTATAGTTTTTATCAACGACTTTTACTGTCGATATGGGCCGGGATCCTAAAAACCCAGCCAATTTGTGCTCATTTCTAACACTCAGTGTTAAAATGGGCCAAGTGTTTGTTTTGGAACTATTGTCCCCTGAAATATTTGAAAATATGTAATGCAATGAAGAGAAGTAAAGTTAATCTCACTAAAAATTAAATATCGATATAATACGAGTGTAAACATAATCTCAAGTGACCCTCCATTCAATCCCCGGTTCCCTTGAAACATCCGATCAATCATGTTGAATATAACGCGGTTTTTCAATGTTTAAAATTATTTAATTTTGTTAATTCCTTTATGTTCACCTCCAGTAGAAATGCGCAAGTCACTTTTTTAGAGACCCCTTCCAAATTATAAACATTTATGTCTAATTCAAACTTGATAAGACATTACGTTTATGTGTACCGTTGTAGATCGGAAATGGTCGTCTTTGCATGGAAGGTCACTTAAAATTACGTTCCCTTTAACATTTTTTCAATGAATTGTACTTACCTTACTACACAAATATTTGAACAATCCCTTTTTAATGTTTAGAACTGTGACCCTTCTACTACCAGATGGTACAGAGACGAGATTTAACTGTTAAACAGTTAATTATAGACGGTCAAACTTATTGTTAAACTTGGAGTAGTTGAATAAGTATAAGAAAGAAGACAGAAATGATTTTTCAAGATGAATAGTATCATTTGGTACTATATTGCAGGGTTACCCACAAAGGATCGACAACTCTGTATCACAAAATTTACACAAAATCAGAGAACTTAATTGATTCAAGGAGTTTAAGTTCCCATTAGGGTCTCATCTTTTGTAGGTATCCCTGTATATTGTTCAGTATAATCATGATATTGATTCGAATTGTGGATGGTTAAGTATTGTCTGTAGAAGTTAACTACTCCAAGTTATGAACAAGGATTGCTGGAAACCTATACTGTAGTTTAAACTGTTAACCTATGAACTGTACATTTCATTGTTTAGAAGTATACTGCTTCCTAGTGCTTTATGTTATATGCAAGTCCATATGACAAATTTTAAAAATGATAAATTTAAAAGCTTTCGAAACAATTTGGGGCAGACACCCTCGTCTTCATTTATGGTAATTCAAAGCTTTTGGGGAATATAATATAGTGTCATAATGATTCACATTAAAACCCCTTTGGCCATCAACTACAGGATTATGTGAACAAAAGTGCACTGTTATAAAATGTTTAAGCTACTCTTTAAAATGGAAATAAGGGTGAAATATAAAACTTTAATTGTCGTTTTCAGAAACAAGATTTTTTGTCACTACTTAATAAATTCATTATCATTTTACTTCCTCCACCATGTATTGTAAAATTTATAAACTTATAATAGATTTAAAATATGCTTTTTTCGTTTTAATTTTTAGAAATATTAATTAATAGTATTTTTGTTGTTCTGACTTTATTAGATTTTCGAATTTAGTTTTGTTACTGTAAAGCGCACACGCGGCATTTTTAGAATTAAAGTCGTCTTCTTGACTTTTAATGTAATTCTTCTCATTATTTATCTGTGATAATTGATTCAATAATAATTCCCATGTTTATCATTAATATTTATTTGTAATAAATTATTATGATTACAAAACCAGTTCAATTCAATTTAATATTTCTGAGAATATGGTGGAATAATAACCAAAATGTATTGGTTTTTTTTCAGCAACTGTCTTTGGTTTTTTTTAAAATTACATCCTTGTTTTTTGTCAAATATCTGTAAGCTGGACGTACAGAAACAATTTAAAGCCGTACTTTCCGTTTTTAGGATAAATTATTTCAAGCAAATGTGTATACAGTGAAATCTTTAGATCCTGGATCCCTGGGGAATTTTTGAAAGAAAGAAATTAAGCCCCCGTGGAAAAATTCCTGTATACGCCCCTGGTTCTCAGAAAACCTTGAACCAGTTACTTGACATATTTTCTTCTTTTTAATGTGTTTTAGATATTTTAAGATAATTACCAGTTTTTCATACTTACAATGAATATTTTTCTATCTCCCCCCCTCCCCCCCCAGGACTCCTACGCTATATTTGATATGATTTACTCCTAAGATTAAATTCCAGAAACACAATAGAAGAAATCTGAAATATTCTGCCCGGATATCTTCTTCTCTATCTACTATCTGCCCGTGCCATCTTCATTCATTTTTAAAAAAACATTTGTTCTTCATAAATTTACAATATTACAGGACCCTCGCTGAAGGGGTGGGCTGGTCTCCCCTTTGACAATTGTTATAGTGCAGTTCTTTTGGAACGACTAATTACGAGTTTAAGTGAACGAAAATAATTATTTTTAAGTTCATGCCGAGAAAAGTTTTTTTCGAGAATAATTCGACTTCTGTGCTTCTATGATAGCATGTAAGTTCATTTCTTAAATTCTAGATTGTGTTTGAGCGCAATTCTTATGATCTAGATTTTCCTTTCCACTTCTTTAGTTCTAGATTGTGTTTAAGTTCACTTCTTTAGTTCTAGATTGTGCTTAAGTTGACTTCTTAAGTTCTAGATTGCGAGTAATTGTTCACTTCTTTAGCTCTAGAGTGTGTTTAAGTACACTTCTATAGCTCTAGATTGTGCGTAAGTTCACTTCTTTAGTTCTAGATTGTCTTTAAGTTCACTTTTTTTAGTACTAGATTGTGCTTAAATGTACTTCTTTAATTCTAGATTTTGTTTAAGTGCACACTTCTTTAGTTCTAGATTGTGTTTCAGTGCACTTCGTAAGTTCTGGATTGTGATTAAGTGCACTTCGTAAGTTCTGGATTGTGATTGAGTGCACACTGCTTAAGTAATAGATTGTGTTTCAGGGACTTCTGAAGTTCTGGATTGTGTTTAAGTGCATACTTCTTTATTTCTATTTTGTGTTTAAGTGCACTTCTTTAATTCTAGATTGTGTTTAAGTGCACTTCTTTATTTCTATTTTGTGTTTAAGTGCACTTCTTTAATTCTAGATTGTGTTTAAGTGACTTCTTAAGTTCTAGATTGTGTGCACTTCTTTAATTCTAGATTGTGTTTAAGTGCACTTCTTTATTTCTATTTTGTGTTTAAGTGCACTTCTTTAATTCTAGATTGTGTTTAAGTGACTTCTTAAGTTCTAGATTGTGTTTAAGGGACTTCTCAAGTACTAGATTGTGTTTAAGTGCACTTCTTAAAGTCTAGATTGTGTTTCAGTGCACTTTTTAAGATCTATATTGTGCTATAGTCCACTTCTGAAGTTACGGATTGTGTTTCAGTGTTTTCTTAAGTTCTAGATTTTGTTAATTGTCCTAAGTCCTAGATTGTGTTGAATAAGTTCTAGATTGTGTTGAAATGATTTCTTTAGTTCCAGATTGTGTTGAAATGACTTCTTAAGTTCTAGATTGTGTTGAAATGATTTCTTAAGTTCTAGATTGTGTTGATTTGACTTCTTGAGTTCTAGATTGTGTTGAAATGACTTGTTAAGTTCTAGATTGTGTTGAAATGACTTGTTTTCACGGAAGCGTTGAGTTTCCAAGATTGATTTTTTTGGAAAAAATAATATTTTTTGTAGAAAAAAAGGATTCGCCAAACTGTGTGAATATATTTCATTTACAAATAAGTATACTGTTTATAGTGTACTGTACGAAGGGGTGGTTTGTGTACATAGATGATGTATAAAAGTGTGGGAATCTATTATTAGTTGTATTCCCGTACATCACTCCACCAACCCCTTCCTCAACCCTTCTTACCAGAAAAAAAATCTTCCTCATAAATTATTTTCAAAAAAGTTTAATTTTATAACATTCAGAATATATATTTTTAAAATGTCTATGAGGGAAAGTATTTTCCCCTGTTTATTCCCCTCATATACCGTATCAACACTCAACCTTATGGTTTTACACAAAATATCAATTCCCCCCTCCCTTTATTCCCCTCCTGGGGGACCCCCCCCCCTCCTCAGTTTTCAATAAAATCTCTTTCAAGTTTAGATTGTTGGGTAAACCACTCAGATTTAGATTTATTTTAAAGGAGGGTGGAAACGAGGGGGGTGGGGGCTGTGGATATTGTGGTTTTTTTGAGGGGGGTGCCAGGATTATAAAATTTTCATATGTATAGCTATAAAAAAGATTTTTCTTCGCTATTTAAATAACTTTTCAATTTATGAAACGTTTCACAATTTTTTTATCTACCAATTTAAACAGAAAAATTTGCAAAAATATTTTTTATTGCAAAATTAAAACAGTTCAAAGCTAAAAGCTAGATTAGGTGCTCAAAGCGCCTTAAAGGCCTAGTAAACTTAAACTTTGCAGTTGCAGATCACAGTTTTACATTTTATTCAAAATCTTAGAGTGTAATTTATTAAAGAAAAAGATAACTTGACCACTGATGACACAATTGTATTTCTTGTATGTTGGTATATAATCAGGGGGGCTGGATCTTAGCTACCTGTCCGTGTACATTAGCCTGAGTGTACACTTAGGAAACTCGACAGTTTACTGAAAAAAGATATTTAGAGATTATGGCCTATTCATATTGTAAAGTGTACAAGTACAAGTGTATATGGGGAGGTTTTGTATCTTAAATTGTACTCAGTTTTCTCAGAACCGATGAACGATGAAATATTGCAATAGTGATTTCCTCCATTGTTTCGTCAGTAAACCCCGCAAGTTACTTTTCAGAGAAATCAGGATAAAAATAATCTATTTTCAAAGAGAAAATTATTTAGTGCCTTCGTAATCATTGTGCAACGTTCATCCCTCTCTATTTAACGGAAAAGTTGAAATTATGTCTGCATTTTTATTAAGTTTTTTTTGATTGAAACCCTTTTTAATTTCAGAAATCACCCCCGAGTAATGTAATATTGCTCTTTAACATATTGATCTTTAAAAGAGCTTTAAAGGAGCTTTAATGGTACCATTGTATATATTGAAACCAGTTCTCTCTGGGCGGGATTTGTAAACAAGAATCTGCATCAGTGTTCGTTTAGTATCCGAGGAGGTTAAAAGCATTTGATTTTGATAATTTGGATAATTCACATAATAGTTTCCTATGACCAGAATATTTCATTGATTTTTTATGTGAAAGATGGATCCCATGTCAGGCTTCGACATCCGTCTTGTGTTTACATGACATCCGTCTTGTGTTTACATTACCGCACAAAGACAGTACACTGCAGTACAAACGATCCGTACATCTCTGAAATAACTTTCCTTGCATTAGTACCTTGCATTAGTACCTTGGCTTGTACAATTAGTAAATACATCATTACTCACTGTGTTTTAAATGTCTCACGGTCTCAAGCAAATATCGATGAGAATTTTGCCAATTACTTCTTACAAACCAAAGCAAACATCAAGTTTTTATAGTGTTGAAATGTAAACGTAAAGGGCTGCAGAAAAGCAAAAATGAGTTAGATCGGTAAAATCTAAGCCCAAGGCGTTGCGGCACTTCAAAGTAAACCCTGTCTTAAAATTGATGAGATTGATTGATTGTTTCTATGTGCACTCTATATACTATAACCTCATTGTACTAAATGCATTGTAGATGTTTAGATATAAATTATTTCAAACTTGATTGTGAAAGGGAGCTAAGAAAGTTAGAGCAGTTATATTTTATATAAATTTTTAATCATTATTATTCTTTTCTTCTTTGTGTTTGATATTTTTGT